ACACCCCGTGTGCATGCCTATGATAGCAGCACAGTCCCAAGTCCATCATTTCATCTCTCCATCCGGTCTTCAGGCCCTCTAGCCGTTGGGATGCAGTCTAGGCTGTGCTTGTAAAGTCGTTAGGGTCACCTGTAGCAAACGCAAGAGGTCTCGTGGCACACGTCTGCTCCGTTTGGCAGTCAGGCTCCGCTCCCAGTTTTTATATTTCTTAAAGTTGTATTACATATACCATAACTACTCCCGGTAATCTATTAGAGCTAACCTAATAATTTTCATTGTATTTCATTTTGGCTTTATGGTGGGAGCCTACATTTCCCATTGAGTAGTATAACTGTTTAGTACAGTGTGTGTGTGTGTGTGTGAGGGTGCTGTAAGTGTTAGGAGTGCAGTGTGTGTGTGTGTGTGTGCTGTGAGTGTCAGGGGTGCAGTGTGTGTGTGTGTGTGCGCTGTGAGTCAGGGGTGCAGTGTGTGAGGGTGCTGTAAGTGTTAGGGGTGCAGTGTGTGTGTGCTGTGAGTGTCAGGGTGCAGTGTGTGTGTGCTGTGAGTGTCAGGGGTGCAGTGTGTGTGTGTGTGTGTGTGTGCTGTGAGTGTCAGGGGTGCAGTGTGTGTGTGTGTGAGGGTGCTGTGAGTGTCAAGGGTGCAGTGTGTGTGTGTGTGAGGATGCTGTAAGTGTTAGGGGTGCAGTGTGTGTGTGAGTGAGGGTGCTGTGAGTGTCAGGGGTGCAGTGTGTGTGTGTGTGTGAGTGAGGGTGCTGTGTGTGTTAGGGGTGTCTGTGAGGCTGATGTGAGTTAGGTGATTATATCCCCCCTCCCTGCTTACCTTATGCCCGGGAGGGGGGATCCTGCTGCTGGGGCTGCCATCCATCCCTGGCATTTGCCTGATGGCCAGTCTGGGCCTCATGACAGACAATAGGTGGTGAAAACAGACGAGTCTCTGCAGACGAAGACGAGCAATCCACATGGCCCGCACTACACCGGGACACCTGGTGCACACAACAAACAGACACAGGGAAAAGGCCCGGGAAGGTTAGAAGGGGCACAGAGGCTAAAATATGAGATTTTAACACCTACATACTCCCTTCACCCTCTAATTGAGACGCAAGTATCCGCAACAAGTCAGATAACCAGGGGTCATGCAAAATTGAGTTCAACCACCAATGCATGAACACACCCAGCCACCTAATCCACGATGTTTAAGGGGATGTTTTATGGGGGGAGCAACCTGAAAGAAGTACCCACTCGGATCTATGTATCTTGAAGCGTTATGAACCTTATAGCGTTATTTAAACACTACTCTTTCCTTTCTTTCTGTATCACCTAATGTTTTGAAAAATAATCTAATAAACAAAGATTGACAATAAATAAATAAATAAATAAATAAATCAGACAAATCATAGCATTCAATCACCAACTGATTCAAAATAACAATTTACCTTTCACAATCCCATGTAGGCACCCCTGTAGCAACTTTAAAGCTCAATCTTTTATAAACAATACCAAAAAAAACACTTCTCCTACTACCAATTACATTATTATTCTGCACTATTAAATAAAACTGATAAGAACTTAATCCAAAACACAGCAGATTTGTGTAATGTGAAACTGAGAAAAGCAGTTGTCTCGTTTCCTCTGCTCCTTTCTTTGCTGATCTAGACCTGTTATAGCCTAAATGGGGATTATACCACCAAAGCTGAATACTACCAGAGCAAGTTATTGCTCTATAAATTGTAAGGAGAATATTGTCTTTCCTTATTTATATTCCAGTATTATACATACTACACCACTGGGTTATTTTCTTATTATATCTACTCTGTATGGCTACTGAACAAAGAGTTAACTGCATTGGAAATCTACATATCCATAGACTGGGATTATATCGTCTGGGCGTTTAACAGCAGAGCTCTCGGTAGCTCTCCAAAGTGTTAGTTGACACTCTGTATAACTTTTTTTAAAGACACATAGTTGACATATTGCCCTATTATCCTTTGTGTTTCTCACTTTTTTTAGTTATTACAAAGACAGTTACTACGAAATACTGACCTTTAATAGGAGTATGTATATATGTGTATATATCTCATGTTAAGTGTTGACACAATCTCTTAATTGAAACACTTCATTTCATTGCATTTTTTCTGTAATGCATATCATATCAATATTTTATATCAAAATTTCTACTCAGGTTTATGTGTATTTACTTAATCACTTTATTATGTTATAGAAAGAAAGGATCCCTTTAGATAGTGGGATTTTACCCTAGATTTCTGTTTTTATATACTTTGCATAAATGCAGGCCACTCTGACCACACAGGGTCTGTATACTGTCAATAAATTATCTCTTAGACTGGTCAAACCTAAAATGTTAACTTACGTATTTTCTTGACATGGATATATATTGTTCCTTGTTAATTTTAGCTTGAAGGGCTACATTTCTTTTCATAAAATAAGCTGTTGAAGCATCAGACAATCTTTTCTTGCATCAACCCCATCTCTCACAAATAAACACGCTACTGTGTCATTTTTTGAGAGGTCACAATTTTCAGTCTCAGACTTAGTTCTCGTATTGCTTCTAAAATGATGTGACAGTAAGTCAAACCTAAACCATATACACACTTTTTAGACATCTGAATCAGGTCACACAGAATTGACTTTACCTGCATCCTTCTGCACCTCTTAGACGCTCAATAATTTACACTAATGCCTTGTTATAATTTAATGACTTACCCTTTAGATGACCAGTAAAGCTGATGGTCCAAGGGCCAGGCAGGTGCAGATTCTGCTAATGTCGGTGGTTTTCTGGACCTAGACTATGAGCCTCTTTGACCAAAAGCAGTAGATGAATACTAGGATTTAAACATCCTCTCTGATCAGATAGAGTTTACTCATTTTAAAATATTTTCTGTATGCTTGCTTGATAATATTTAATCTTGTGAGTACATTATATTTGGGGGATTGTATCTAATCACTTTGTATCTATTTTACTTAAAGGGACACTATAGTCACCACAGATTAATGTAGTCGTTCTGGTGAGTATAGTCAGTCCCTACAAGCGTTTTGATATAAACACGGTCTTTTCATTTAAAACACACATTAGAGCAAAGGCACACCTTTAGTGGCCACTCCTCCTGGGGCCGTGCAGCACTGTGCAGCACTGACATTCAGTTTCTCCACCCAATGAACAATGAACTTTCCTCACAGAGATGCATTGATTAAATGCATCTCTTTGAGGAGATGCTGATAGGCCAGAGCTGTGTTTGGCTTGTGCTGGCACTGCCCCTGATTTGCCTCCTTGACAATCTCAGCCAATCCAATGCTTTCCTATGGGAATTGGCTGAAATCGCTACTTCTGATGATGTCAGCCAAGAAAGCAGATCAGAGCCAGAGCCAGAGCCAGGGCCAGCACCAGCAGACTGGAATAAAGGTAAAATTTTCCTATATTTAGGGAGGCAAAGTGTTAGGATAGTTAAGGTTTGTAATACTGTTGGGTCACGAATTCAGTTTGTGTTCCTGGCCCTATAGTGTTCCTTTAATAAAAGCTACATTTCACTATAGAAGCATCTGTCTGTTTTGCACTTTTGAGGTATTTCTAACAAATTACATTGATTTTATGTGCTACAAATAAAGATCTGAGGATCAAAATAATACAGCACATTAGGGAGGACAAAATTATCGAACGCATTAAAATCGTATCCTGTCCTGAAATCCAGTATAAGGCATGGCAGTGTCTAGCTGTTAAGTTATATTCCGATATATTAACCATACGTTGTGGCAACTGTATCAAAGCCACTCTTGTTCTCTTTCCATGCCATGGGAAGAAATATAGCCTATCAGCGGGACCAGCCTAAACCTGCTCTGGAACTCCAGCCTGGCCACTTCTGGTTTTCACAGTCCTTTTGTACCCTAATTTTTTTTTTTACTTTCCTGTGACCCAATAGAGTGCTTTTTGGAGGGAAGCCTCAATCCCATTAACAGAACAAATTGCTCCCTGGAACCACCCGGGATCTCCCATTTTTCGAAGAAATTGCCGAGCATTGTCACCGACAGCGTGGAACGCTATTCAACCAAGGTTGTTGTAGCAGTCGGGTAAAATTTTTGACTGTGTGGCGTTTGGACAATTCTTTAGGAACCAAGCACTATTTTCCCAGAATGGGCACTCTGACATGCCCTTTAAAATGAGGTATAACGTGTGGGTATACCCTATTTAATATACTTTTGGGGGTATTTTTGTGAGCACTCTGTGTCCCAGATGCCTGGGCGGGCTTAAGTGGTTTTGAAGAGAGACCCCCTGCTTGGGTTCTGCGTATAAAATGTGTGTACTGTTGGCTGAATAAACCAGTTCTTATAACCTTCATCAAGTCTCGACTGATGTTTGGGTATGCAGGAGTTATAAGCACTGCTTCACAACAGAGGTACCACTCTGGTACACCCATGCCCATGGCACTCCACGCTTCATGAATCTGAGAATTCACCGGGGGGATGAAGGGGGATGAGGGGGGAGTGGAGACTAGTGCTGCAGGCAACTTTGGGGTTAAACTGTTCAAAAACAGTTTAACGCCTTGAGGTAAGAGTGCCTCCTGGCACCATAACAAGTTGTTGTTGCCTGGAGTGTCCCTTTAAGAATCTACAAACAAATAAACTGCAATATTTACCTTGCAGGGTTAACTCCTCCTCTAGACAGCCACTAGAGGGCTCTTCCGGGTTTATAGCACACATTTGTGCTATAGCGTTGCTGGACGTCTTCACGCTGTGTGAAGACCTCCAGCGTCGCTGAAATCCCCATAGGAAAGCATTGAAAGCATTTTTCAATGCTTTCCTATGGGGAGGTCTAATGCGCGTGCGCGGCATCAGTTTGTTGAATCGGGATAATCTGAAATGGATAATCTTTAACATTCCACACTTAGACACTAATTGATATATCAACATGAATTTTGGACCAAAATTCCAGTCTGGTTGGCTCAGTGTTAGACCACAATCATTTTGTCACACTAATTTAACAAAATGTCACACCTTGGTTCAAAACAGGATGTTTATTAGTCTCCACAAGCTCGTATCAGATTATTTCCAATAATTCCAAGTTCATACAAAATTGATAATGTAACAAACACCAAATACATAAGCAGACAAATTACACCCAACTTCTTGTCAAGCTTCCAGCCATTTAAATGAATAGCTACAAAGATAAAGAGAATGGAGAACAGAAGGGACATGGTGGTGTAAGTCAATCCACTGCTATTCACTTCAACTGGTGATGATCTGTCTACGAAGACAGTCTTAATAAACCACGGAACTCCTAGACAGAGCATGTCAAATACGTTGGATCCAACAATGTTAGACATGGCCATGTCTCCCTTTCCTGTGAAGAGACGTGTAGGAGTTTATCATAATACATGCAGAATTTATTGGCAAACACATTATCATGTCAAAGTCAAATATATCCATCTAATACCTGTCCCTCTCTGTGTATTTGACATATTCAAGGCATCCATTGATTTCTGACACTTTTCAAGGCACTCAACCCCTTAAGATTTTGTCATTTTCCTGTTCAATACCAAAGGGGGATGCAAACAAATCCCAGACATCTATATAATGGTCGTATCTGAGAGTCTGCAGCAGAGTATGCTCGAATGGTAGGGGATTCATAAGTAAATAATTAGCATTTTTTCCCCCAATTCTTTCATAGAATTGTTTTATTTAATCTATCCATCTTTTCATTGAATTACTTATTTTATCTATAAATATTTAACCTTTTGGTAGAGATAGGAGACAGGTGAAAAAAATAAAATTGACTACCGCTTTAACAAATAGGAACAACTTTTTGTCATGTGTAAATTTTCTGTAAATGTGAGCTCTTCTACACAAATGTTCATTATGGAGTCATAAGAATAATTTAGTGAGAAAACACTTATTAGTATGTATTCAAATACTTTGCAGAAAAATGTCTTGTTTGTCTACAGACTACCAATGCAACTGGAGATTGGACATGCTCAATTTAGCAATTGATATTGGTTTGGAAACCTCCTTCTCAGGCTGACCTTAAGTTTGTGCATAGCTGCATAAGACACCACCGTTTTACATTACAGGGTATTAGGGGTGCTCAAAGAAGAAACATGTGTAGAGAACGGGTGGTGCTGTTGAGCATGGCTTGTTATAATCCGTCTTACAAATATCCATGTTACAACAACCTAGTGCCTGCTGTCACCAGGCCATGCATAGCAGCAAAATAATCGAATTATAACGGCAGTGGAAAAGTGGTAAGCAAAGCAACTGGAGATTAGTGTAAAAATATATAACAGCGGTGCATACTCAACTGGGGCAAGGACTGTTCTTATGACCTATTCTGAGTTTTTGTTTGGAAGTAAAATGGCGAGTAAATTTTTTGTGCCAACTTATACATGCAGGGATTGGCAATGCCAATTCAGCATTAAAATATAATGCACAACTGCAAACTATCAAAAGAAAAACAAAAATGTACCTTGAGCATGGTGGTCTACAAATTTACAGGAAAAGTAAGTGTTGGTCTAGATTTAAAAAAAAAAAAACACTATTCTGCAACAGTAAAAAAAAACTAAAAAAAAAAACTATATATTTAATTTTTTGGCCAAAGTCTCTCAACATATATTTATTGTTGCGTAGGTGTTCATTCTTTTAATAAATGAAAAAATAATAATCTGATACACGTTATATTTACCATCTCGGGCGACAAGGACACTAGCAACAGTGTCTGGAATGCTGGTTCCTGCTGCTAGCAAAGTAAGCCCCATTACAGTGTCCGGAATACTTAATGTTTCACCTAAAGCATAAAAAAGATACTTTTTTTTAAAAGGTCATGTAAATCAGTTAGAATAAGTACATGAGACATCCATACTTTAGGATACTGTGAAATATAAAATTTTTCAGGAAAGGCACATAGTTACCATAAACTTGAATATCAAACACAAAATGCATTTTACCATAAAACTACCCAAACTCTTCTTCAGCTCTAGCACATTAACTCCAAATGACCTCACAGTAATACGTGTGCTCCTTAACATGGCACGAAGCTAAACATTTGGTAACCTATTGCCAACAATAACTTATTGCCAACCTATTGCCAACAATTTTTAGTGGCTGTAGAATTACACTTAAATTTCAGTAATTATGTAAGACTGCTTAATTATGCACCAACATACATTAATGCTATAGGGTATATTCAGATCAAACAATACATTACATAATGTTTTTCTGCAATGATTATTTAACCATTTGTCTGAAGTTTTGATTTTTTTACCCCCTCAGGAGGACTGACCATTTTGAGCATTTTACCATTAAAGTTACTCTCCTATAATGATAAAATGAGACATGAGCATAAATGTCAGTGATCCAGTAAAGATCAGAGCAATGGCATGACAATTTATATTTTTGTGTTGGTTCACAGATTGCCGTAGGATGGCTGCCTAATTATTTTTACTGGTGGGAGTGGGGGAGAAAGAGAAGGTATTATCAGTAATGCCAGTGTTCACTAATATTCAGAACACCAGCCTAAATACAACTGCTTTTGGCAATAAACCTGTGTTTTATTTGGTCTTTGCACTGCTATAGCAGCAGATGTCCAACAGAATGGACATTGTCACACTTTGCTAGAACAGTTGCTCCAGAGTTTGAGAGCAATTTTGCAGTTAGGAGAAAGTGGAGGGCGCACTAAACTTTTCCCTGTTATTTCGAATAGTATCTGATATGCGGATTTATCCCTTTAATTCTAAACTGCTGTTGAATATGTTAGAGTAATGATGGATGATCATAATAAAGCCCACATCATAATTCACGGACGGCTTTTAAAGCCAACTTTGTTTTTTGCTTCATAAGAGTTTTACGTGGCTGGCAATCAAGTGGTTAACTCTTGTGAGTTAAACTCTTAAAAGTTATTGGTAAAGTTTCAAACATTATTTGCTTTTACGATATATTGAAAGCGGGTTTAATGAAAAGCAGAGCAATGTTTCATTCACTAAAATTTAATAACTGCATTAATGGTTTTGAGGCAGTATTTTCAACAGTTATAGTTGTTTGAGAAATAAAGAAACACATTTGCAGTTTATCATTTATTTCTCAATATAAAAAAAAATTCATTTTAAGGTACAATTTCATTGAAAAAAAATAATCTGGTGATACATATAAATATGAAATATATATGCATATTTTACAAAATAATTTAATAAAAAAAAAAAAAAAGATATTTTGCTTTGAACAGAAGAGAGGAAAACTCTCAAAAGCTTGTCTTTTAAGTATTCTGTTAGTCCAATACAAAAAGGCATCATAGCATACTGCAATACTCTGGTATTTTGGCATATTTTCACTCAAAAACAGGTCACACCAAGTACATGTCACACTATGACCAGTAAATAATCTACATGTTCATAATACATGTATAGGTTCGTGAGTGTGTGAAGTACCAACATGCAATATACACATAGTCCTTAACATTGGCGTTCCATAAATCGGGACACCGATGGGAGAGGTAAAAAGGGAGCAGTGCTATAAAAAACATCACTGGCACTGCCATAAAGGGGGTAGGCAAACAAGGAATAGAGGTGGAGCTGTCTGAAAAACTGGCAGGTCAGCCAATCATGAATGCATGTCAGGGTGCCTGCCAATCACACATGCCATCCCACTGAAGGCAGACCATGCAGGGAGCACTATTTCAGTGCTCTCTGCATGGTCCTTGTGACCTTAGCATAACACAGCTGATTATGTGCTCATGCAATGCTTTTGGGGACAGTTCCCTGGTGTCCCCAAAACTGGTACACCAGTGAACAAACTCAGGACAGTTGGACAGGACCATAAAATTGGGACTGTTCCACCGAAATCAGGAGAATTGGGAGGTCTGCATCTAATAAAATTATCTCCCTCCTGCTCAACTTATTAAAAGAGCTTAGTGGTGTACTAGCAAAACCATTAACAGATTTATTTAACCAATCATTGTTAACAGGAGTAGTCCCAGATAATTGGAAGTTAGTGAATGTTGTGCCCATTCACATGAAAGGTAGTAGGGAGGAGTTGGGCAACTTTAGGCCAGTAAGCCTTACTTCAGTAGTGGGGATTTTGATTGGGTAGTATTCTTTTGATTGGGTAACTAAAATAATAGATCAGGGTGGTGCAGTAGATATTGCTAACCTAGATTTCAGTAAGGCTCTTGACACTATTGCACATAGAAGGCTTATCAATAAATTGCAATCTTTAAGTTTGGATTCCAATATTATTGAATGGGTAAGGCAGTGGCTGAGTGACAGGCAACAGAGGGTTGTAGTCAATGGAGTATATTCGAAGAATGGTCTTGTCACCAGTGGGGTACCTCAGGGTTCTGTACTTGGACCCATTCTCCTTAATATTTTTATTAGTGATATTGCAGAAGGTCTTGATGGTAAGGTATGTCTTTTTGCTGATGATACTAAGATATGTAACAGGGTTGATGTTCCAGGAGGGATAAGCCAAATGGCAAATGATTTAGGTAAACTAGAAAAAAGGTCAGAGTTGTGGCAACTGACATTTAATGTGGATAAGATAATGCATCTTGGACGTAAAAAACCCAAGGGCAGAGTACAGAATATTTGATAGAGTCCTAACCTCAACATCTGAGGGGTGATTATTTTTGATGCCTTAAAGGACCACTATAGGCACCCAGACCACGGCAGCTTAATGAAGTGGTCTGGTTGCCAGGTCCAGCTAGGTTTAACCCTTTTTTCTATAAACAGAGCAGTTTCAGAGAAACTGCTATGTTTATAAATGGGTTAATCCAGCCTCTAGTGGCCGTCTCATTGACAGCCGCTAGAGGGCTTCCGCGCTTCTCACTGTGATTTTCACAGTGAGAAGACGCCAGCGTCCATAGGAAAGCATTGTGAATGCTTTCCTATGGACTGGCTGAATGCTCGCGCGGCTCCTGCCGCGCATGCGCATTCAGCCGAAGAGGAGGATGAGAGTTCCCCGCCCGGCGCTGGAGAAAGAGGTAAGTTTAACCCCTTCCTCTCCATCCAGCCTGGAGGGAGGGGGACCCTGAGGGTGGGGGCACCCTCAGGGCACTATAGTGCCAGGAAAACGAGTGTTTTCCTGGCACTATAGTGGTCCTTTAAAAGGTAGGCAGACAATGTAATAGAGCAGGAAATGCTAGCAGAATGCTGGGTTGTATAGGGAGAGCTATTAGCAGTAGAAAGAGGGAAATGCTCATGCCATTGTACAGAACACTGGTGAGACCTCATTTGGAGTATTGTACGCAGTACTGGAGACCGTATCTCCAGAAGGATATTGCTACTTTAGAGAGTTCAGAGAAGGGCTACTAAACTGGTTCATGGATTGCAGGATAAAACTTAGAAGGAAAGGTTAAAGGATCTTAACATGTATAGCTTGATGAGACAGGGGGGATATGACAGAAACATTTAAATACATAAAGGGAATCAACACAGTAAAGGAGGAGACTATATTTAAAAGAAGAAAAACCACAACAAGAGGACATAGTCTTAAATTAGAGGGACAAAGGTTTAAAAATAATATCAGGAAGTATTACTTTACTGAGAGGGTAGTGGATGCATGGAATAGCATTCCAGCTGAAGTGGTAGAGGTTAACACAGTAAAGGAGTTCAAGCACGCGTGGGATAGACATAAGGCTATCCTAACTATAAGATAAGGCCAGGGAGTAATTAAAGTATTTTAAAAAATTGGAGAGACTAGATGGACCGAATGGTTCTTATCTGCCATTACATTCTATGTTTCTATGTAACTTTCTTCACAGTGGATTTACTTTAGCAGTTCTTATGTTCTGCTTGGTTAATTGTACTTTAGTACAGAGATTATTAAATATGAAATTCTAAATTAAACATACTGCAGTAAGAGAAGCTAAAAAGATTTAGACTCTTTCAGGAAGTGTGTAGGTTGACTACTATGAAGCAGGGTTGAAAACAGGGTCAGAATTTTCAACTCAAAATCCAACTCAAAATCAAGCCCCATACGTAGCGTTGTTTACTTCAAAATGTGTCAGTTTATCCATGCTAAAGTCTATATTCAACAATCATCCGGTTATACCAGAGTTCATCCTAGCCTCCAAGACTGAGAATTGTGCAAACATTTCCAAACAACATTAATTTTTACATATAAAGCTTCTACCTACATATAAAATAAGTAATCTATCTGGTCTTTCTCAAACAGCAGCATCCGAACAAACAAGACAAGAACATTGTGCTGTGACATGAGGAGATGTGCTGGAGATATCCTTATTAGAAGAATAAATAAATAAAAAAATAAAAAACTGAACACCTAAGGCTGGGCGGTGTCACATGACAATACACCTAGCCTCATATAACAAATTATTAAAGATGGGTAGAAAAAAATTCTGGCACACCCCTTTAATTTAATAACATAGGATGGATTGAAGAATTCTGAAAGTGTCTGCAGGAAGCATCGGTTCAATGTAATTTCAATTAAATGCAGAACAATCTATGGATTTGATATATACAGATCTGTAATATATTTGAACAGAGATCTTTTAAATAATAAAGAATTTAGCTAGGTTTCTAATACCGGAAAAAAAAAAAAAAAAAAAAAAAAAAAGAAGAAAAAAAAAAAAAAAAGATAAAGTATCCCATTTCAAGGGTTGACATTTCAGAGATTAGGAATTCTAGTGCGTGAAAATCTTTAGCTAGCAGTTGCTGCGGACCATTTAGCAGTGGATGTAAATGCTGCATATTCATAACTCGAGGTTATTTATAAAAACATATACGGTTTAAAAATGCACTACTTCAAATGGTTTCCCTGGCCTCATTTACTAAAATCGTCTCATTCTCACTTTGTAGTCTTACTGAGACATAGGAAATCCATAGCTGGAAGTTAGAACAAGGAATCGTAAACATTACTGTACATGATTTGGATATATTAATTTAATCTAATTGAGAAAAATACTAAATGAAAAACCTCAGACGTAGTTGAAGTAACACTCCAGCACCATAAGCACTATAACATGCTGTAATGGATATGGTGGCAGAAGTGCCTTTGCAACCCCTAGCGTAAGTGTGAGGTCTGTCAACTTACTTAGGGTCACCTCCTCTATGAGAGACGGAATCTCTCTGCATTGAGCCAAGACCGGAACTGCAGAGGTTATCTTATTGGCTGGAGAACAGCTCTCAGCAAATGAACTGGATGGTCAGAAGAGCCAACACAAGCTCTTTATTCCTAATAAAGCCAAGCGAACTCTCTCCCCCGGCCAAAAAAAACCCAATAGGATCTAGGTACAAACCATGCCTTTGTGTCCCTGTTCTCCACAAGGTCCATGTGGGAGTGTCCCTTGCACAGGGACTTGCATAAAAGCCAGTGTGGCACCATTAAACTTCATTACTGTTATACCCTTCATGAAGTCTAGGCTCACGTTTGGGTAACTGTCTACTTGCTGGGGATAACTTACTTGGAGGCTGCATTCATCTGAAACTATTCATATCTACACCCGAACTGAAGCTATATGTAAACTCAGGCTCAGTCGTTCGGGAGGAATAGGCGAACAGGGTATCTACTATACCAGCGTTCACAACATTCGTAACTATCAGGTTCTCTACCATCTCATCACCAACATGTCTTAGTTACATACACAAACTCCACAACCATCCTCAGATTCACATCCTACCTTCACCCGCATTAATCACAACACAGACCACACAGCCACCCTGAAATTCTGGATAGGCATATTTACTACTCCTGGTAACACTATGCCTTTACGTGTTAATATGCCCTGTAATGGGCAACCTGCCACAGGCTAATTCAGCACCTCGTATGGGCATTTCATTGAAAACATTTATAGATTTTGGATTAAGAATATAATGTCTTGTTTTAGGTTCTGGGTAGTACATTTATAGGCACCTAGTATACGGATATCATTATTTTACAGTTATGTAGTGGTAATATTTCCTCAATCTGATTATCATAATGCCATAAACAGGTATTACCTTCGATGTGGCATATTAGATAGGTTACGATAGACGATACGCCTTTACATATGGATCTCTGCACAGTCTACGGTTTTGCTTACAAACATATTTGTGTCATGTCTAAATCATATTTTGAGATTTCCCTAAATATATGATTGCATGGTTTAACACTATAGTTTCTGTCTGCGGATATTTGGTCCTGTGGCTTTCCGAAACGCCATGGGGCCTGTACTCTTGCTAGCATCCATTTCCTTACATATTATCTTATCATATATTCTTTTACAGGTTATCAATTTGGAGCATCATTTTCTCTTCAGACCTTGCACCCATTTGTCAGTTACGTTTCTTCCCCTCTCTGCCTCCTTAAGGGGATACTGCAGATTTTAGTAACAGGTTACAACCATACCATACAGAACTACACAAACTCATCCGAATTCAGGTACTTTTTTAGCCACGATGGCTTCCCCGCAATATAGACCTTTTTAATGAGTAGGTTTTACTGGCTTATAGGGATCTAGGTGACCAGTAGATGTGCAGTTTCTAGCATCTCTGCCTTGGAGTTAATGGGCCAACAGCCATCTTCCACGCATGAGGTATTACGCCCCCCCGGGCCAAAACATAGTTAGCCGCATCGCACAAGCCTCACTTGTCACACCTAATCTATCTTATGATTTAAATGTAAAAACAAAGAACGTTACCTGCCCTCTGGCCTAAATCCCCATGTACATTTAAACAAAATGGAGGCTCTTTAGTTTTTATTCCAATGGCCATTTGAATATATAAGCTCACCTGCCACGTCAAGGCAAGCCTCAATAGGTGAGTTCCTACACTAGCCATTAGATATGCTGATATCAGCCAAGAATCTTCAGTGAGACAGGAAGGGGTATTTTTAAACCCTTTCACATTTAATCCTTTATAGGGCGTCTACACGTACAATAAACTTTGCTGGTATCAGACAAAGTGTAAACATCTCTAAATGAGACAGGAAGGGATTTTTTATAAACCCCTAAATACTTAACCCTGAATAGGGCTATAACACATACAAATCACCTTGTTGGTATCAGCTAAAAGGCAAATTTCTCTGATGAGAAAGGAAGGGGTGCTGCCCCTACATACTTATAAACTCTTAATAAGACAACGTGGGGAGGCTGGCAGCAATGTAACATAGCTGTGTGATACAAACATCATATACAAACACAAAGATAAAGCACCGCGCTTACAGCAGCAGTAGCTAAGAGTATTTAAATGTCACAGAGAGGGCAACACCCCGCCACATGAATCCCCTCAAGCCAAGTCATAGATAGAGCCGCTCCAACCACTTGGCAACTAGCAGGGCCTCACCTGTCACCAACCTAGTTAATTGCTTCACCACTTGGCACTAGCTAGTCAGCCAGTAAAAAGATCCTGATCTAATTATTAATATATTGCAGTATGTCTCAGATTCTTGTAAGAAGGAGAGGACATGTCAATACAAAAGTACTCCAGTCTGGTCCACTACACCTACACGAATAGGTGACACCTATCAGGTTCTATCAGGTCATGGACCATTCCTCGTATTACGGCTGAGCTACGCAGACACAACGTTCCTTTCCCAGCAACGGCCAGGAAACGGTTCAGGCTCATGCGTACCAATACGGACAATGCTGATGCTGGAGTAGGCACGAGTTGCTCGAGCAACACCAACCTCCACGCAACGTTCTCAGCACTCGTGTCCTCTAAGGGGTAAATAAATGAGAGACTCGAAAGACTAGAAACACGTTGTCGAACCAGGCCGTCAACAGGACGCATACGATCATAACACAAATCAGTATTAAGCACTTGCACGTTCAGATATCCAACGGGATATTGACTTTCTGCCATGCTATCCGATTTTCTGTTTGAAAGTTTTTACACTAATAGGTGAATTAGGATGTAGATAAGTTGCGATGCCACACCGATCAGACATATTGTGACATCATTATTATACTAAAACATGTCATCTTTAAGTTGAGGTGGCCCTACCACGTACTCAAATAAGTCGCAAGGGAGGGCCTGCTGAGGTTGATTTAATCTGTCTACATGGCTACAAGTGTCACTATTGACTTATGGGACTCATCGGCTAACAAAGGTTTACTTTGGTTTAGTTATACTAATTAGGGGTTGCTAGTTTGCTTCTCATACACTTGTTAGCTTGAATTGTCCACAGTTATGGTCCTTGTAGATACATTTCATAGTATATTCTTGTTGATATTGATACTAGTTACCTATGCTGTTTTTTTTTTTTTTGAGTATTGATACTTTTCTGGTACTCAACCCTTTCCTCTATATAATTTGGTTTTATCAACTTGGCCCTCGTTATATTAATCACTTATCTACGTTGATCACTTATCTGACTCTGGGCTATCCCCAGTGGCGTACATACCAGGGTCGCAGGGGTCGCGGTTGCCCCTGCGACCCGGTATGTACCCACAGGGCCAGCCTCTTCACCTGGGGGGCGCAGGAGCCGACCACCCCAGGGCCCCCCGAGGCTGGCCCTGCTGACACCCGTCAGGCGGGTGGCCGGGCGGGCAGGCAGGCGCGCGCGCGAGGGAGCACTCAGTGCTTCCTCTTCAGCTCCCTCGCGCACTGCACTGATGCCGGAGCCGGAAGATGACGTCATCTTCCGGCGCCGGCATCCCTACGCGGCGCGCGAGGGAGCTGAAGAGGAAGCACTGAGTGCTCCCTCGCGCGCCCGCCTGCCTGCCCGGCCACCCGCCCAGGAGCCCAGCAGCACCACTGGACCCCAGGGAATCCCCCCAGCACTCCAAAAGGTAAGGAGGCTGGGGGGATTAAATTTAAAAAAACATGTGTGAGTGTGTTAGAGTGAGTGTGTTAGAGTGAGTGTGTTAGAGTGAGTGTGAGTGTTAGAGTGAGTGTGAGTGTTAGAGTGAGTGTGAGTGTGAGTGTGAGTCTCTTAGTGAGTCTGTTTGATGTCTGTTAGTGAGTGTGTGTTTGTCAATGAGAGTGTATGTTTTGTAAGTGAGTGTGTGAGTGTGTATGTATGTCTGTCGCTGAGTGTGTCTCTGTTAGCTAGTGTGTATGCGTCTGTAAGTGAGAGTGTGTGTATGTCTTCAGCGCCGGACTCCCTTGGCGCTGGGGATCCCTCAGCCTCTCAGCTCGGAATGAGACCGCGCACGCATTCAAACCGCCCATAGGAAAGCATTACTCAATGCTTTCCTATGGACGTTCAGTGTGCTCCTCTAGCGGCTGTCAGTGAGACAGCCACTAGAGGCTGGAGTAACCCTCAGTGAAACATAGTAGTTTCTCTGAAACTGCTATGTTTTCAGCTGCAGGGTTAAAACTAGAAGGACCTGACACCCAGACAACTTCATTGAGCGGATGTGATCTGGGTGTCTGTAGTGGTCCTTTAAAGGACCACTATAGTGCCAGGAAAACATACTCGTTTTCCTGGCACTATAGTGCCCTGAGGGTGCCCCCACCCTCAGGGACCCCCTCCCGCCCGGCTCTGGAAAGGGGAAAAGGGGTAAAACTTACCTTTTTCCAGCGCTGGGCGGAGAGCTCTCCTCCTCCGATCATCCTCTTCTCCTCCCCGTCGGCTGTATGCGCACACGCGGCAAGAGCGGCAAAATCACAGTGAGAAGCACGCAAACGCAAGCTTCTCTGAAACTGCTATGTTTATGAAAAAATGGGTTAACCCTAGCTGGACCTGGCACCCAGACAACTTCATTAAGATGAAGTGGTCTGGGTGCCTAGAGTGGTCCTTTAAGTGTGTGTGCATCTGCATGTACTGGCGTACATACAGGGGTCGCAGCCCTGTAATCCCTGGACGGGTGCCCACCGCCATGTGTTCGCGGCCTGGCCAAGCGCTGGGGGCCCCGCAGGATCAATTTTCGCACCGGGGCCCCATGGGTCATGTATGCGCCACTGGCTATCCCATTATTTTCAGGCAACAGGGGCTTTTACATGTGACAGGTTCACGATTCACATCCTTTCCTGAATTTCTGCATTATTAGTACTTTGCTATATGTCTTAATGCTATTAGGTTATAGTTGATGTCAAATGCTGGTATTTTCATATTCATGCCATCTGGTTTAGTCTAAGTTGCTTGTGTTACCCCTCAAATGGTTGCAAGGTATATATTGGTTGTCACTACATGTTTTAACAATTTCCTTAGCCCTCAGGGCACCTGCACACGGTCTGGCAGATTCCGCCAGTTAATGTACACAGTATTACTCCTCCAGGTTCTAAGGTATTTCATGTTGTACCTTTTCATTTCCTGAGGCCACGAGAATTCACCAGAGGCCAACACAATGCACAAGGTTGCCCCTTGAAGCTCCTATCTAATTAAAACATCAAGATCATTACATACTGGCTCTACCAGTGACCAAAACAAGTCAACTGGGTCAACCCGTCCACTTTCCATACCATCCCACGAATAATATATAGGTGCTTGCCCGGTGAATGTTTTTGATTCCTACCTCCTCACCGCACTGAATATTGAATCTCTTCCAACTACTGTGACTTCACTGGGCTGTCCTCACTACCTCTAAGGTGCATGGTTTATATACGGTTATTGTTAACAAGGCTTCGGTATGAACCCTAGCCATTATTCAGGACACTGGTTTGTGATAGGGGCCGCATCTACAGCGTCGGGCCAGCATTTCAGTCCATGCCATTAAAACTCTAGGTAAGCTGTAAGTCATCCATACACAATATACATACCCCAACCAGTACAGAAATCTGAAGGGGCATTTTGGGGGTGGGGGAGGCGCCCGATCGGGTAAGTAAGAAAGATTGCTAGGGTGTACTAGGTACATGCGTGATTAGTTAAGGACCATATTTTTGTCGGACGTGCCAGGGCGATTAGCCTGAGGGAGCAAAGGCATTTGCCTTGGGCGCATTTTTCAGTAAAAGCGCCGCCCCAAATGCCCAGGGGGCAAATGCCTAGTTAGCCTTGTGGCTAACTGACATCAGCTGGCGGGCGGTGGCTGGCGAGGAGAGCACTTCCTATGAGCTGACTGCTCAGCTCCTCGTGTGCCCAGAGTGAGGCTGGGGCGGAAGATGGCGTCATCTTCCGGCTCCCAGCTCCCTCTCCGCAGCAGCGAGGAGCTGAGCGCTGGCTCAAAGGAAGTCTCCTAACCAGCCTGCCAGCCAGCCCTGTCGCCCGCAGCCACTGGACCACCAGGGAGAGAGGCCCCCCCCCAGCACTCCCAAAGGTAAAGAGGTTGGGGGATTAAAAAGTTAATGTGTATGTGTCTGACTGTGTGTGTGTTTGTGTGTGTTTGTGAGTGTGTGTCTGACTGTGTGTGTGTCTGACTGTGTGTGTGTCTGACTGTGTGTGTGTGTGTCTGACTGTGTGTGTGTGTGTCTGACTGTGTGTGTGTCTGACTGTGTGTGACTGTGTGTGTGTGTGTGACTGACTGTGTGTGTGTATTTTTAGAAAGGTGGGGCGGGGGGAAGGGTTGGGTGGGGGTGGCGCCTGAGTTTTGTCCTGCCTAGGGCAGCACAAAACCAGGATACACCACTGGACGTACCTAGTACATCCTCGGTCCTTAAAGGGTTAAATGTGCAGCTTTTCAAGCAGACAGATTCTTTGCTACACTACAACTTCTAAAAGCAGTAGTGGTTATAGACATAGGAGTAACCCTTTAATGGTAGGGTTACTTAGCAAGCTCAAAAACTACAAGTGAAGATATAAAGAATATAATCTAGTGTATTTTGGATAGCCAAATATAAAACAAAATGTAGTTTATCACTAATAGTATACCAGCGCACTCACACTAAGAGGATTGGCTCAAATCTCAATTGCTTGAGTAAATTTGCCAGGCATAATTCCACCTACTAAAATCAAAGCTCCAGGTACAGACTCTTAAAAGAAAGTAAGTGTGGAAGATGTCACTGCATGCAATGTCTTTTAAATTGCACTATGCAAGCTTTGGCATTTCTAATATTTTTTACAAAAAAAGAGAAAAAAAAAAAAGAAGTGTGGACAATTGCACAATATTTTTTTATTTCTCAGTTTCTGCTTGCATTTTATTTTTAAGTTGACAAAATAACCCTACAATTACGGTGTGTGACCTGGTAAAGACTTTTCAGCCATAGCCACTACAACCTACTGACATGGTTATGGTGCCAGGTGTCTCCTGATGTTAGCTACAGTTGCTTTCTGCAAAATTTATATACCCATTTTGCCTTTATTTTAAACGTAATTTACTGTCAACTGATGCTCTCAGAAAATTAATTCTATAATGACACAACTGAATTTGCCAATGCTAAAACAAAATGGTAACTTCAGCTTTAGTGATATCAGTGTAGAAACAGTCTGTGGGCACCATGGAGATTAAGGAAAGTGTCAAATCAGGGACTCCTGGTATTAACGTGCTTTAATGGCCACAGTGTCCTGTTAACTACACAAGATATTTTAGAGGCAAAGTCAGGAGCAGGCTCTCAAACCCTCAATTCTTACCTACATGTGTGTTCCTCATCTACTACATGTGCATAAATAGGATTTTGTTTAAAACCAGTATTTCTAAAATGTAACCCCCTTTTATTTGAATGACGCCAATTCAAAGATTTTAGCTTTTGAATTTTTGCTTATGGTTCACAGAGAGAGCAGCTTGTTAAAATTAAGCTAAAGAGAACTTTGAGGTTTCCATGTGAATATCAAAAGAATAATCCTATTACATTCAGAAGACATATGGTCATGTCATATTTTGAGTCAGGTGACTATGTCCTTCTAATCATAGCCTTTTAAAATAACAGCATGTGACATAAATCCTTAGGGCCAGAGAAAAAAAAAAAGAGAGGGTCTTGAAGAATTTCAGCTATGCACGGGTTTGGACAGAGAACAACAGAAGCTCTTTAGCTGGTTTCTGATTTGTACTATTGGTTTATGTGTATTGTTTGATCATCAATCTTTAATAAAACACAATTTATTTTAAGAATGGTAGGAAGGAATATACATTTAGCTAGTACAGTACCCTGTAGGACATTCCTACTATAGAAGTGAAAATTAATGTTATTTAGTTGAATGATTAGTATACTTTCCCATGTTCAAACAAACATCAAGAAAAGTCCTTTCGTCAAGTCACGACCCAGCTGTATTTTACTGCTTGTTTTTTTTAGTGAAATTTGAGCTATACATTTGTTCATCTATAAATTTCCCTCTTTCAAATTAAGTGCATCCACACGTATATATTATTTTGTTGAGAAGAAATAAGGCTTTCCTTTCACATCAAACATTTACATATTAAACATAACTTCCTATCAATAAAATCTAAAAAAACATGTGAGAAATTAAGAAATGTTATTTTCCAAGATCTGCATGGCATTTTAACTGTGAATGTTATAATACTGTTAACACTCATTTGTGTTCAGCAATGTCTCACAAGTACAACTGTAACCCCCCCATGTACAGATTTTAGGGGTTTTCGAAATGTACAAGGTCAAAATATAGATCTTGCCTATTTCAGCTTTTACACATCGACATTTGTCAGATTGGTTTGCTGAGCTATGTTGTTTTTGTGACAGTAAGGCAGCCCAGGAATAAAAAATTACCCCCATCATGGCAAGTAGACTGCCTAGGGTATTCAAAATGGGGTAGGTCCAGTCTTTTTTAGCAGACCCTATCGTTGCCTTTTATTTTGTTGCTTTGGGTTCCCGACACTTCCATCATCAAGAACACTCACGTCATATCCTTCCAGTGGGGATTATACCACTGTACGCTATACACACCAGAGCTGGTTTAAGCTCTACCAAATGTGAGTGTAACCCTATTATTTTACTGTCTTATCTATACCCAGTGAGACTTAATGCACTATTAGCTTCTTCACTTCTTATCAACCCTCTCTGTATATACGGACATCTGTGAAGTGTAAAGAACACCACCGTCTGGCTCTAAAGACCCTATTGGTTTCAAGTACCTTATACAAGACTTTTGGAACTAAAAAGATATATACCTACATTTTATTATTGTATTGTGGCGCAGCTCTACCCCACCTTTGCGTTATATAGAGCTTACCTATTTCAGCTTTCACACATTGACATTTGTCAGATTGGTTTGCTGAGCTATGTTGTCTTTGAGACTGTAAAGCAGCCCAGGAAAGTAAAATTACCCCCACCGTGGCAAGTAGAGTGCCTAGGGTATTCAAAATGGGGTAGGTCCAGTCTTTTTTAGTAGCCACTTTTTTACAAAAACTGCAAAAAATGTCTTCACTTTTAAAGCTTTGACAAGGTTTGGCAACGATCGCTCTGCCTCTCTCATATAAGATTAAAGTGAGGGGAAGGAAAGCAGAGACAATGTCTCAGCCAGTGTTTCAAATCATTTGCTGAGACATTGTAACAGTGATCGATCTTGTGCTGCAAATTGTTGCAGTTGGCTACAGGCGGACTGCCTGGGTTACCAGACAGGTCCCCAGAGCGCAATCTGCACTGTGCTTAGGGAGGCGGGCAAGGGGGAGGGCTAAAATGCAGCATGCTATGCTGCAATAATAGCATTTATCCCCGCATGCCTGCATAGCATGCCTTAATGCTGTAAATGGGTTAATAAAACCTTTTTTTTTTTATTGTTTAAAAATTAAATACAAATAATATATAATATACCTACCCACTATCGTTACCATCCAAACTAAAATGTATGTCACTGCAGAAATCCAAACAGCAGACATTATAAAGGTCAAAATGAACCACTTTCTCCAGGTCTTCCGTCTGCAGTCAGGGACAGTCAGGAACAGCAAGGCAATTATAGGCAACGACAAAACCCATATAATTCTTTTCAAATCTTTGTCTGGCATTGAGAAAACACTTGGAATATCTGTTAGAAATAAATATATAATTAAATAATAAAAAAATATATATTAAAAATAAAACTTAAATTAAAATTCAATAGTACAACAGTTGCAATACAAATAGACCACTTAAACCCAAATTTTACTACAATGCCACTTTAATAACGGGCATATGTATCTTTACTTCAATTAATTTCTCCACTTGATAGGCTATGACCGACTGCCTTAGGGCTTAAAAGCCTTTGGGGCATAGCCTTGATGTATCATGTATGCCCTGTCTATATTCTTGACATGTTCCATTGTGGCTTTAAATCCTACTACAACATTTCTTCAGATCTACAAAGCCTGGCAGATCAGATATGGAGAGAGGATGGATGGGGGTGTGACCAGTGGGCAGGGCCATGACACAATTTGCACCACAGACAACTTGCCTGTCCACAAAAGGGTGCGTCATCCTTGTTTGTATGTTCACCAGGATGTCTACACACTGGTCAATGCTAATGCACTCTCATATGGACTTAAGTGCTTGGTAATCAAGCACTTTCACAACACATTCCCTTACTTTTCGCGACAACAGGTGACAGACAAAACTGACCTGGAGGACTGAGGGGAAATCGGGTGTCACATGTGACACCATGTGACCCGGAATGTCTGCTCCTGGACACCTTAAGCAAACCAATGATGTGCACTCCACCTTCAGCATTTCTAGATACCTGTACAGCATTTCATTGCTTAGGTTTAAAATCTTTTGATGCAACATGGATGGATCTTTATTGAACAAATATCTAATCATTAATTGCGTAAATTAATTGCGTAAATTGAATATTTGTAAAACAACAAAATAAATAAAAAGAAATTTTGCTATTGAAATCTTCAATTTACAGATGGCTTACCTTCAGAAACTTCAATTCCATGCAAACTTATAGAAAGTTGAGAATAATCTGAGTCCTCTTGGAAAATTCCACTATCTGACCTTGAGTGGCGTCGACCACTTCGAACATTGTCTTCTTTCCGCCCTATCAATGGCTGCTGCTCTGCGGGTTCTTCCAAAGCTTCAGTGCAACATGCACAACAAGGGCTAAATTTTCTCATTATGTACTGATTGATTTTAATGTCAAAACACATCATCAAAATATAAAACCCGTATACTAAAATCAATGAAGCGGACTCATACCTGTGAAATAAAATCAAATAAAAATTAAATGGCAGATTGTATTTCTACAAATTAGACTTTCATACAATTCATATGACTATTCCACGTATGTATGGATTATTTAAATGTTTTGCATTTACAATGGTTTTAGTCTTTCACAACAATCTGTACTTGCTACAGAACTTCCTAAGAATTACAGCTGTTTATCAGTAAAGTGTTCCAAAAACCGGTCAATGTCTATGCATTTCCTTATTGTGCACATCCTATTACATACTCGGACTTAGCCTTGCTTATCATGTTCCCCAGTCTCCCATCTCATTTGTTCCATGTCCTTGTTGGTTTTTCACCAAGCCGTATACCTGGTTCAATGTTTGCTATTTCTGCACCACTGAACAAACCAGAAGATACAAGGTATCGCACTTTCCTTAGCTTGGCAGGGATTCTGTTCTTGTCAAATCTTTATGTGACCAGCTTATCTAAAGACGCTTTGCCTACATAACAACCCAAGCTTTGGACAAGACCATCAAGTTGGCTCTACCCCCAGCGCCTATTGCATTCTACCAATCTTGTTAAGTACATTGCTTATACAGATGTGAAGAATTGTTGTGCCTTTTGGTTTAAATCATTCTCTGTGTATTGAGCTTATGTCTCCTAGGTCTACGCCAGTCCAGTCAGGAAGTAATAAACAAAAAGATAGCCCATGTTTTACAATTCAAACTGGACAACCAGGCTCATTTTATTTACATCATTAGCTACCAAAGTGAGATAAAAAAAATAAAAACATGAAATGCAAATCAGTCGATGAGTTGGCTTTTGTTATAGGGCACCTAAAAAATATACATACAAATTGTATTTCATGTATTATTATTATTATTATTATGATATTTATAAAGCGCCGTCAAATTCTGCAGCGCTTTACAATGGGTGGACGAACAGACATGTAGTTGTAACCAGACAAGTTGGACACACAGGAACAGAGGGGTTGAGGGCCCTGCTCAATGAGCTTACATGCTAGAGGGAGTGGGGTAAAATGACACAAAAAGGTAAGGATAGTATTAGACTAATGACAGTTGCAGAAGAGGAATCAGTCAGGAGCTATGAACAGTTTAATTGATACGCTTTTATGAAGAAGTAAGTTTTTAAAATTTTTTTGAAGGAGTGGAGACTGGGTGAGCATCTAACGGAGGAAGGAAGTGAGTTCCACAGGAACAGTGCAGCCCTCGAGAAATCTTGAAGGCGAGCATCAGAGGTGGGAGTACGGACAGAAGATAGACGGAAGTCTTCAGTAGATCATAAGGGCCTAGACGGGACATACTTGTGTATAAGGGAGGATAGATAGGTGGGAGCAGCATTTTTTAGAGATTTGAAAGCAAGAACCAGAATTTTAAATTGAGCTCTATATTTTATAGGAAGCCAATGTAGGGACTGACAGAAGGGTGAGGCATGGGAGGTGCGTGTGGACAGGAAGATGAGCCTTGCTGCCACATTCATTATGGACTGTAACAGCGCAAGTTGGGAGAACGGAAGATCACTGAGAAGCGGATCACAGTAGTCAAGGCGAGAAAGGACAGTGGAATGGACCAACACCTTAGTCGCATCTGGCATTAAGTAGGGGCAGATGCGCGCAATGTTTTTGAGATGGAAATTACAAGATTTGGCGATAGATTGAACATGAGGCTTGAAGGAGAGGTCGGAGTCAAAGAGAACACCTAGGCAGTGAGCCTGCGTGGTGGAGCTGATGGTAGCACCGTTGACTTGGAGGGAAGCATCAGGAGTAACAACACTTGAGGGAGGAAAGACCAGAATTTCAGTTTTGGTCAAGTTTAGTTTAAGGAAGTGGGCAGCCATCCAGTTAGAAACAGCAGAGAGGCAGTCAGAGACACTAGTCAAGAGGGACGGGGAGAGATCAGGAGAGGACAGGTAGATTTGCATGTCATCTGCATAGAAATGATATTGAAAGCCAAAGGAGCTAATGAGTTTACCAAGGGAGGCAGTATAGATGGAGAACAGTAGGGGGCCAAGGACTGAACCTTGGGGGACACCAACAGAGAGGAGTTGGGGAGAAGAAGCAGAGCCAGAGAAAGAAACACTGAAAGAGCGCTGGGAGAGGTAGGAGGGGCACCAGGAGAGAGCAGTATCTTGTAGACCGATATTGCGGAGGATGAGAAGAAGTTGTTGATGATCAACAGTGTCAAAAGCCACAGACAGGTCAAGGAGAATTAGGATAGAGTAGTGACCACGCGATTTTGTAGCGAGTAGATCATTGGATACTTTGGTCAGTGCCGTTTCCACAGAGTGCTTAGCGCGGAAACCAGACTGAAGCGGCTCTAGCAGAGAGTTGGACTCGGGGAAGTCTGTCAATCTCGCATACAGAAATATTTCAAGGATCTTGGATGCAAAAGGCAGTAACGAGATAGGACGATAGTTGGATGGGGAGTTATGGTCAAGATTGGGCTTCTTTAGAATTGGGGTTACAGTTGCATGTTTGAAGGGCAATGGCAATATACTAGAGGAGAGATTGAGAATTTTAGTGAGAGGTGGAGAAAGAGAAGACAGAGTACGGATGAGATGCGAGGGAATTGGATCTAGGGAGCAGGTGGTGGGGCAGGAGGACTGGAGCAGAGCAGAAACCTCTTCCAATGTAGCGGGTGCGAATGAACATAGAACAGCAGAGGGAGTGAAGTTAGGGGAAGAGGAAAGATGAGAGATCTCTTCTCTGATTGTAGAGATCTTGTCAGTGAAGTGAGTTGCAAAGTCTGAGGCGGTCAAGTTAATAGGTGGAGGAGGAACAGCAGGGTGAAGAAGAGAGTTAAATGTGTGAAATAGTCGTTTGGGTTCGCGGGAGAGTGTGGTTATGAGGGTATTGAAGTAATTAACTTTTGCAGAGGAAAGAGCCAAGCTGTATGAGCTCAGCATAAATTTATAGTGGAGAAAGTCAGATGCACAGTGAGACTTTCTCCAACAGCGTTCAGCAGTTCTGGAGCATTTTTGGAGGTATCGAGTGAGCTTGGTGTGCCAGGGTTGTTGTTGGGGGGGCCTGCGGCGTTTAAATGTACAAGGTGCCATGATATCTAGTTGAGAGGAGAGGGTGGAATTGTAGAAGGAGGTTGCAGAACTAGGACAGGAGAAAGGAGAGTTTGGAGATTAGTGGAGAAATGCTCTAGGTCAAGACATTGGAGGTTTCTGTTAGAGTGATGTTCAGACGGAGGTGTCAATTGGGTCTTAGGTATGCCATTGTCAAAAGTCAGCAGATGGTGGTCAGATAGAGGAAAAGGAATATTGGAGAGATTAGAGGCAGTACAGAGGTTGGTGAAGGCAACTACAAAATATGTTACTACAAAAAGTAGGTTGCAAACAAGACCACAGAACAAACTAGTATTTAATGAGACCAACATGCACGGTTAATGTTATTGATGATGAACGCCTATAATACACACACAAAAAAGGACATATCCAAAACAAACTGATATTTAACATACAAAATTAGAAAAATAAAGAGCAAAGAGCCCCTTATTGAAAAATAAAGGGAAAATTCAGTGTTATAACATTTGATAACAGAGCATTTAACTAAGAAGCAAATAATATATATATATATATATATATATATATATATATATATATATATATATATAAAATAAATAAATAAATAAATAAATAAATAATGGGTACCTACCAATAAATCCTGTTGTCAAATGTTATTGCAATTACAGCTGCTACGCTAATTGCATAGGCCACACAGTCTCTAAATAAAGGCCAGCAGGACAGCCTGGATATCTGGGCAAAATAAAGATTACATTTGCAATTTACTAATTATTGTGGCATGCCAACAAGGCAGATATGTTTAATCTAAAATGATATACAAGGACCTAATATAACTAGCAAAGATGCTGAAATATACACACTGCCCAGTTTAAAGCATATACTTTTTTCTCCTCTCACATTAATCCCCACACCATAAAAGTGGTGCGTATTTGTCATCCATCACTTTTAACACCACTTTATAATTTTCTTTCCTTGTAGCACATATTTTGGTTATCCATATGCCTAACAAGACTCAAAAACAGAAAAATGTGGTAGCTATAGGCTTGTTGCCCCATTAAATACAGATTTTCAATTATTTTCTAAATTAGCTGAGATACAGCTTCCTTCCAAATCTAGTTCACCCTGATCAAGAAGGGTTTGTTTCATCCCATAAAGACAACACAACCCAATAAAACTTTGTTGATCAGGTGTGTTGTCTCTGTTTGTCATGTATTTAATAGGTCTATGGATGTGGAAAAGGCAAAGGTGGACTGGACATACTTACAGCATTAACTTCAACATCTAGGGCAACGTCCCAAAATAAAGGGATAAGACCCATTGTTTTAGCACTTTAACCCATGCTCATAGCAGTCAGGGAAGCCCCCACTATATTTTGGGGGTTTGTATTCAGAAAAGTCCTGACTTTTGCAGATTATTTATTGTTGACTTGTGCTTATTTCCTATAACTAGCTATATAATTTAGTAATGCAGAAATATGTTCTAAGCTAATTTTCTCATAAATCTGTACTTATTCATGTTGGAATATCAACACCATTCCATAGATTTAATGACTGTGCTAGGCAGATTGGACACTAGGTGGAGCTTTAGCGAGTATATAGTTATAGAGTGAAGTACAGTTGTCTCTGTTTTATGACAGATTGTTTCTAAGAAACAAAATAAACATTCAAGTTACCTGAGCACTATCCTGAATCCCTATGTCCATTTACTTAAAAGAACAACTGTAATGTCTATTAAAGTATAAGATCATCTGCTGCACCAACGCAAACCTCTTGGCTGAACCCTACGCCTAGAATTCACCTTGCTGCTTTTTGCTAAAAGACCAAACCTATTGTGACAGCAGTGGGCATTTTAAAATACATCAAACTGATAAACCCTAGATATGACACACTTTCAGAGGCTTTTTAGTGAATAATTTTGTCATTCTCTTAAATATGCATTTGTGAGGTGTCAAAAATAAAATTAAACATAGAAATTCACACATCATTGTCCACTAATTGGGTGCCGCCATCTGAGCTCCCAGTTATTGCTGTGAGCTCTGTCCTTCACACCTGGCAGGCCGCATAAACAATACATACAGGGAAGAGGAGAAATATTTTTACTCCTCCTTATTTGCATTGTGTGCCATGGATGTGCCTGGACTAAACTGGATTGTAATGTCCTTTTAAATATACATCTAAAAGAAAACCCAACACCATATGAAAAAAGTTGAGAGAGTTCACCTTCAAGATCTATCAAGTAAAGTATATCCCTCTGGCTATGCTCATGGGGGCTTACAGACCTTGCAAATCATACACACCAACATGGTTTTCTACATACTCCTGTTACCCGACTGATATAAAGTACCAACTTAATGGAAGTGCAGAAAAATAAATGGTTTCCAGGCACAAGATATTTACATTCCTACCACCTTGTGTGGCGATTGGAATGCCAAACTGGAGTACTGCAATCTTAAAAAAATATATTCAATTTAATATTTAATTTTAATTTTTTATATTCTGGTACTTAATGTTTTAGACAAAATAGAGGAAAAAAAGGCAAATACAGAAATAAAAATATTAAGTGAGAAAAGAAAAATATAGTTTCACTGCTGCAAAATTAAGAGTTATTGGATTCCTTACCGCAGGAGACAGCAGACAGCAGGCAGCACATATCCCAAGCAGATTGTAAACGGCAGATCCAACAATAGTGCTCACTCCAATATCTCCCTTAGTAACAAAGACACCTAAGAACAACAACAAAAAAATGGTACATTTTGAAATGGGTCTATGAAAGAGAAAGCCTAATAAATATTATATTAAACATACTAATCTTGCATTATCCGGATAGAAAAGACTCCTTAGATGTAAACAGTAGACAGTTAAAGGGATAATCTAAGCACCAAACAACTTTAGCTTAATGAAGCAGTTTTACTGTATAGATCAGTGATGGCGAACCTTTTTGAGCCTGAGTGCCCAAACTGCAATACACACCAACTTTTTTTTCCTCAAAGTGCCAACATGGCAATTAAACCTGAATACTGAGGTTTAACTTTAGAAAAAAAACTACTCGTACAGTTGTCCGAACTAATTAACAACTTTTGTTTTAAAAGAAGAACACAACAGAGAGTTCAATGATACAAATTTTAAATTATGATATAAATAGATAAAATTAAGCTTATATTTATTAGTATCTCCAACAAATGCAATACATACACACAGACTGCTGAACACACACACACACAGTCCGCTAAATACACACACAGTCCGCTAAATACACACACAGTCCGCTAAATACACACACACAGTCCGCTAAATACACACACAGTCCGCTAAATACACACACAGTCCGCTAAATACACATACAGACAGACTGCTGAATACACACACACACAGACTGCTGAATATACACACACACCCACACACACACAGACTGCTGAATATATACACACACACACAGACTGCTGAATACACACACACAGACTGCTGAATACACACACACACACACACACAGACTGCTGAATATATATACACACACACACACAGACTGCTGAATATACACATACATACTGCATTGAGGGGTGCAGTGTATGTGTTTGTGTGTAAGGGTGTGGACTGCTGTGTGTGTGTCTGAGGGGTGCTGTGTGTGCAGGGGTAGGGGTAGGTGTGCTGTGTGGGGGTATAGGGGTGCTGTGCTTTGGGGGGTAGGGAGGGTAGGGGTAAAGATACATTTAAAAAAAAAGTTATATTAATTCTGTATCCCCCCTCCCTTCCTCTTACCTTTGGTGAAGGAGGGGGGACACAGCCATCCCTGGTGGTCCGGGGGTGGTAAGTATTGTAGGAAGCAGCTCCCCTATCCTCACACGCGACGCTGTGTGGAGCGTTGCCAAGGTAACGTGCGACAACGCTCCACACAGCTTGCTCGCAGGAGGATAGGAGAGCTGCTTCCTAGAGCCCCCCCCCGCCCCTGCCTCCCGACCCAGAAGCAGAGTAGGCACCTGCCGTTTTGGGCAGGCAGGTGCCTACTCTGCAGACAGCCAGCGGCCCCCTCTCCTGGCGACCTATGGCCGCGTGCCAACAGAGAGGGCCTGGCGTGCCACCTGTGGCACGCGTGCCATAGGTTCGCCATCACTGGTATAGATCATGCCCCTGTAGTCTCGTTCTTATCTCCTGCTCTGTTAATAGAGCTTTAGTCACTGGAGGTTTATGCAGGCTCTGGCAGGCTATTGCAATTCTAAATTAAACATGCTGTACTATGAAAGACGTTTAAACATTAGATCTCTCTTTACAGGAAATGTGTAGGTCACAAGCAGTGGAGGTGTGACAAGGGCTGCATTAACAAAGGTATTTAACTCCTGAATGGCAGAGAATTGCACAATCAGGTTGCAGGGACATGATCTATTCACCACTCCATTAATGTTGTTTTGGTGCTTATAGTGTCCCTTTAAAACTTTTTCCATTACTCCCATGTCTCGAGTAAAAACAATGCTACCATTACTGGCATAATGTACATCTTCGATGGTATGTATAACATTTGTATCAGTCGTTACCTAGAAACACTGTGACAAACTCTGGGGCTGAACTTCCGACAGCCATGAAAGTTGCTCCAGCAACATCCTGAGAAAGACCAAGGCCTTAAAATGGGACAAAATGACAGCAGAATTAATATTCTTTGAAATAAACAATAATAAATGGCTTCCTTTTCTAACCTTATCTAAATGGAACCATCTGTTAAATGTTATGACCCAAGGTGGGCAGTAAGAGTTCTAAAATCTTGGTTCCACTCTGTGGGAAGTACCAGAGTGTGGGTGGGAAGTTGAACTGTGGATTACATCCATGCCCTGGGCTGTGTGATGAGTGAGAGATTTAATAGCCAACTCGTGAAACAAGACCCCAAAATTTGTTTTTTAAATAAAAAAATATAATAAAAACAAATTAATAAAAATCTATATGATATAAGATACTCAATAATAAAATATATTGACGTCTATGATCTCTTCAGAAACCCTGGATGGAGTTTTCACATTATGTATGTTTCACAGTTATCCATACATACACAGCACTTATCTGTACAAATTACCCATAATACTCACGTTCACTTATTACTTCCAGTGAGGGGATGAAATAGTCTTCACACACAATGGACACAGCAAGAAACATGTATAGTATGATTATAAAATGAATAACGATCCCTCCATCTTTCCTCTCCTGATCTGTAAAAACTCCTTTAGGAAATTCCGATGACGGTGAAAAGATACAAAGTGTATCATTCTCTGAAAGAAATATAACCTGTTTATTCCTTTTACATTTACATCAGAATAAGATATTTCCAATAAAATTGCATTTCAGAGTGAATGATTCTAGGAATTCAGAGCATGTTGGCGCATTTCAAACAGCATTATTACATTGCTTATTCAGACTATGGAATAAAATATCTACTTTTCATCTCTTTTCTCTGGCAAGAAAAAAAAAAACCTAAATTAAATTTTTCTCTTTTGCTTCATTTGGTAACTGTAAAACCTGTACAACTGTTTGTTTGTCTTTTTTAAATAAAAGCGGAAATGAATGTATAAATGAATCTGGACTGCTCTTGCGTACAGTGGGCTTTCTGTATTAATAGAAAGGTCATCTGAGCACTTCAACTTGTCTGGAATACTAGTAGTTAAAGGGACACTATAGTCACCAGAACAACTACAGCTCAATGTAGTTGTTCAGGTGAGTATAATAGCTCCCTTCAGGCATTTTCATGTAAACACTGCCTTTTCAGAGAACACCCCAAGTGGCCAATTCTTAGATGGCCACTGGAGGGGCTTCCTGGCTCAGGGTTGCACAGTAGGCAGCCCTGCCGTTCAGCGTCCCCATGTTCTGCATAGAGACACAGAATTTTCCTCATAGAGATGTATTGATTCAATCAGCAATTTTGATGATGCCACAAAGGGGGTGGAGCCAGTTTTAAACTTTTATAGGGGGGCAAGCCACCTAAATGGTGGGTTTAGCACTCTGAGGTCGGGAATACATGTTTGTGTTCCTGACCCTATAGTGATCCTTTAATAAGCATAGTTCCAGGAATCTCAGATTCTCATTGGTCACTGGCATCATTACCACAATAAAATGTTTCCCCATTAGTAAGCATGTCAAGGTGACTATTTCCACTCTGACATATGGTGATAAGTGCTAGTGGTTAATTAGACATATTACCTTTGTTGTGATAGAAGTCATTGTGTTGATCAGTTTAGTTTTGAAAATCAAATTATTCATAAAGCGTGGGGGTGATCATCCCATAATATTCAGAAATCATCTTGAAAATGTGTGTATGTATAGCTTGCTGAGCATAGTGTGAGTTGCATTTTTGCAGTAACTATTAGGCAAAATGTTCGCTACCACTGATCTATAAAACAAGCACATCAATGTAATTGTGGAGGCCTAGATCAGTTACGTGAAAAAGGTGTTAAGTCTATGGAACACTTGCAAGCTCATACTGTATTTATTTATAAAATATTTTAAGAGGAAAGATACAATGAGATTTATCTTGTTTTCAAGTATGTCCTGGGTCCACAAAACATTGCATTGATACATTATGGTACAATAAAATACAAAAACAATATATAGAAAATTTAACATAGAATAGGTAGGAAATATATAATCAACCATAACATGTGCATTCTGTTTTGAGGTATGTAGAGAGGGATCTCTTAACCCCTTAATGATCAAACTTCTGGAATAAAAGGGAATCATGACATGTCACATGTCTTTAAGGGGTTAAAGGACTTTAGGCTTGGGGAAGATTTTAAGGTGTGCGGGAGGTCGTTCCACAATTGCGGCGCTCTGTAAGAGAAGGAGGATTGGGCTGCTTTCCTTTTGTATTGAGGTAGACTAAATAAAATGTTGGTACTGGATCAGAGCTTATAGGAAGTGGGAACAGTTGGGGAAAGCATTTTGTTCAGGTAGGGCGGGAGCTTCCCAGAAAAGCTCTTAAACACAAGGCTGGAAAGATGAAGGGTGCGTCTGGATTCCAGCGACAGCCAGTTTAGTTCTTTTAGCATGTCACAATGGTGAGTCCTGTAATTACATGTAGCACAAAAGGGGCAGAACGAGTTATACAATGTATTGAGTTTATTAATGTGGGTTTGCGGTGCAAGTGCGTATACTACATCCCCATAATCAATGATTGGCTTCAGCATTTGCTGTACAATCTTTTCCTCCTTTACTGTAGGGCTTAGGCAGGATTTGTTTCTGTACAGGGCACCTAATTTTGAATAAAGGTTAGATGCAAGTTTTTCCTATGTGCAGGCCAAAAGATAGATTGGGGTCTAACAACATACCCAAGTATTTGAAAGAGTGGACTGTGGTCAGAGTGCTATTTGAATTTGTTTTGATGGATAGGTGGGAGTTGTGTAATTTAGGTACTGTTCATACTGTATGTTGACATTTGTACTCCAACATTTGGATGTTAAAATACAGCAAAAGACTTTACTCCTAAATTGTTAGCTTGTAGAAAATTTGAGTGAAGAAAAAAAAAAAAGTGGAAAACCCTATATGGTGTGCATGGACTTATAAAATTGTAAACTCTACATTCATGAAAACTGTGGGGTAGAAACATGTAGATTCGTCAAGTCACAGGAAGCCGTTGCGTTGATGTGCCTTGGGGAAGATATTTACCACTGATGCAATTGAGATGAAACCATTCTTTGTGTGATATTTAGAGAGGGTGATATGTCCAACAGTCTTCATAAAAATAATACTCCTGGCTGCTACTGACCTATTTTATAAAGTTTCACAAAATTATATATAACAAAAAGGATGGAACAAAAATAAGAGATTCACATTTGAAGTTACTATATTTGCTCCAAAACCCCACTCTCTGGTGATTTTCTATAGCATTGCTCAGCTTATATCTCAAGTAGCAATTTATAGGCAATGGTGTCTGTGAGTTTTATCTAAGAAACTGGTGAACTACAACCCAAAGACACCTAGGACAAGAAAAATAACTAGATGCAACTCAACATATCCTTACCTACAGATTACATTCAGCTTTAGATCAACAGTCAGGGAGCCTGGGAGCTTGCTTGGATGCTAGGGACAGGCAGATGAATGGCACTAGGTCACCAGGTCCAGCCGTGGGCTGGTGGACAGAGACTTAAGAATCTCGCTTTACGGGCCTGATATTTTGGATACTACATGTAGTGGCACAGATGTCTTCCAGTTGCCTCTTTGTGCCTCTATGTGTCTGCAACATAAGCAGGAGCATGGATGGTAAATGTGTCATTTGAGCAGAGGGAGTGAGGAAGCCCTCCTGGCTGTCCACTCAACTTCCATGGAGGGCATACCTAAATGAATTCAAAAAAAGGTGCCAATTTCTCTTGAAATCTGTACTTTTATGAATTTGGACAAGAATGACAAGCAGGTTACCCCTAATGCACTTCAGCAAGCTTAAGGGCTTTAGGGGTCTGATGTGTCCCTCTAGATTGTTGAGCCTAAGTGATTACAACTCTTCCAAAGAAGAATTATGGAGACATTAATGGAACCATTGGACAGTTCGCAAAATCAACCAGTGCAGTGCATGATAAAAGCGCTGCCACTTATGCACTTTGTGATATCCGGTGAACATTGCACGGGGGCCGTGGCAAGTGCTGTCAAAAAGCTGGTCTTGCCACAATCATTTAGGGCAGAGGAATAGTTTCAGAAATTCCCAGTGAAAATTTAAAGTATGAAACAAAAACAAACGAAAAAAAAATATTAAAACACAACCATCACTGTTCTTTCTGAATACCACAAAAGGAATGCTTCATCATGTGCTGGATCTGTGCTAGATATCCCAAGGCACATTAACATAAAGAGGTTATCCACTGAGCAGTGAATTCTGATGAATCCAAAAGTGAATTACAAAAATATGGTAAAATTGTCAAATTGGGTGGGTGAAGGGGGGAGGGGAGGACACAGATACATCTGAGATTATTTTTACCTCTGCTAGTTTAGCATACGATTTGAGTTACAATTCAAACATGTCAAAGGGTACTTTACTATTGTACTATATTATATTTGAGAAATGTGTTTACTATTTTTAAAATTGTAAAATACAATGTTTTTATTTTCTTGTAGATATTTCACTGGAGCAAGCATGATATATTCTATATTGTATATGGTTATACACACTTCTTTAAATATTTTGGTTTTCAAGAATTGTGGGAAAAATTGAAAAAAAAAAGTCTTCAGTTAAAATTTGGCACAATCTTAATTTTGCTACTTTGACTTAAAAATGTGCAAATCCCAGTTTGGCAAATCAATTGCAATTGTACTTTCAATCTGGTTTAGAAAACATAATCCTCCATTTTAAATGTTTTATGTATTTAAAAATATTGTTATAAAAAAACCAAACAAACCACATGGGTGATAACCAGGGCAAACTTTGGGCAACAAGGAAGGGCGGCATGGTATAGGCAAAGAAAAGACCAGTAGTTGGAGGTGATCCTAATACCTAACTATTATTTACAAGGTTGAGGCTATGCATACATAAGACAGGTACTCCAAGAATGTACAAAGGTGCACAACGATTATGTAATTTACCGGGACATTGTCCATAGAGAGAAAATTGTACATGACACCATATAACCAACTATTGTTTTACGAGTAGGTCAAACCCACTGCAACCGCACCGCCCCGCCCAACTACGTAGCCTGGCTCATCACATCCAAAAGTTACGATGGGAGAACCACACCCCATCATAAAGACCGACACAACAAGTGGGAAAACCACGATAGGCACCAAGCGGTGACCTGCACACCGCCCCGCAAAACCTTCCCTTGGGTCCGATTTGATTCTCCCACCCATGCCCACAGGCCAGCACTGAGAATGCCATGCACAATACCTAGGTCGCTATTGACTTATAGCTCTGAGGAGAGACAGCAACTATGTGTACAAGGGAGCCCAACGGCCACAATACCAGAGACGCTGTTCCAGCGCTCCTCCCCCATGGCACGATGCCACTGTGCCAAGACCCATGTTTGGGTCATACTGTATATACTTTGGTTTCTTTCACCCCTTTCCTCTGTCATTCCCGAACCTCCCACCCCCGGGCGCAACAACGTAGTCGCACAGGCGCCGTCTAAGCGGTGCACCATACGAACCCTGCAACATCTGCAAATCCATATAGGCATAGCAGAACTGCAAACGAGCACCCTTTATCACCCACCCATCACATGAAAATATATTCACACAATTGCAGGGGACTAAACACCCCACATAAAAGGCGCATGATGCTGGAGGAAGCCAAACAGACTCAGGCGGACATTATCTGTTTACAAGAGACCCATTTTGTTACATCTAGGGTGCCTAACTTTGGAGCACAACATTACCCTCACCAATATCACGCAACTCACTCCTCCAAATCGAGAGGGGCCTCAATCCTTCTCCATTCCTCCTTAACAGTTGAAGCCCTAAACCTAATCAAAGACAAACAAGGAAGATTTGTAATGCTACATTGCCTCCTAAATAACCTGCCATATATTATAGTCAGCTTCTATGCTCCCAATGTACACCAACGCGCCTTCCTACGTAAGGTGCTCTCTGCACTCCCACCTAACCAGACTGCCCCACTTATATTATGTGGAGATCTTAACCACCCTCTTGACCCACACATGGACACCACACTAAACACCACGACACCGAGGCACAAAGCACTCAAAGCACAAAGTAAAGCAATCAATACACTGCTAGGGGAATATGGCCTATACGACCCTTGGAGAGCCTTCCATCCTAATGAGAAAACGTTCACGTTCTTTTCAGCAGTGCATAAATCATATTCACGGATAGACTTCATTTTCATAACAGGTACATTGCTTACCAGAGTAACAAATAGCGAAATCGGGGACATAACATGGTCAGACCATGCCCCGACCACAATAGAGCTGACTGAGGAATACCAACATAGGGGACGGCCACCGTGGCGGCTCAATGATTCCCTTCTAGGTGACCAGACATTCACTACAACATTAACAGAAGCCCTGACATCATATTTCCAAACTAATGATACGCCGGATGTCCATCCGACCACTGTGTGGCAAGCCCATAAAGCGGTCATCAGAGGACTCCTCATCAGCAGAGCCTCCTTTTTAAAAAAGAAAGCACAACAAGAACACCTACACCTGCTGCGCACTTTAAGAGACGCAACAGCGGCAAACATAGTAGACCCATCACCACAACTAGCACAGACGATCCATGATACTACGACGAGTATCAACAACATGGCAATCTCTAAAACAGCACACATTTTACATAAGCTGAAACAAAAAACCTACTCACAAGGAAACAAAGCAGGCAGGAATCTAGCGACTCTACTACGCCAAAAACAATCCAATGCAAAAATCCCCTATCTGCTCACCTCCCAAGGCTCTAAAATCCACAACCCACAAGATATTAATGATACTATGGCAGACTATTACCACTCATTATACAACCTCAAAGAAGACCCCACACTACATCAACCCACATCCCAAGACATTCAAAATCTACTTGGACAGTTCTCGCTGCCAACACTGACGGAACACCAGAAAACTATCCTACAACACCCAGTCACACAAGAAGAAATACAACAAGCTATACACTCACTCCCCCATGGCAAATCACCGGGACCCGACGGACTCACAAACTCCTACTACAAGACAATGACCACAATCCTAACCCCATATCTGGACAAAACCTTTAACCATATCCTCACGACGGGCCAAGTGCCCCAAGACATGCTCATGGCACATGTAGCTACATTGCCAAAACCAGGCAAACCACCTAACAAATGCCAAAATCTAAGACCAATCTCCCTCCTTAACACGGACATCAAATTACTGGCAAAAATTTTCTCTAACAGATTAAAGAACATTATCCCGACCCTGGTACACGAGGACCAGGTGGGATTTGTTAGTGGTAGGCAAGGAGCGGACGGAACCCGAAAGATCTTGGACCTACTACAGGGAGGAAGCGGAGGGGGGGCCCAGTGCGTTATGCTGTCACTTGACGCTGAAAAAGCCTTCGACAGATTGCATTGGCCCTTCCTCCAAGCTGTTCTGATCAAATATGGCTTCCCAGACACTTTCTTACGGTTAGTAAAGGCATTATACTCTAAACCGACAGCGAAAGTCACCAATGGGGGCTTTAGCTCTAAACAATTCCACATAACCAACGTGTCAAGACAGGGCTGCCCACTATCGCCTCTCCTTTATATTCTCTCGCTAGAACCTCTCACACAACTCATTAGGGACAACCCAAACATACACGGCATTACGAGACAAGGCAAAGAACACAAACTCACACTTTTCGCAGACGACATCCTCTTAACACTCGAGCAACCACACATATCCCTACCTAACTTCCATGATACGCTCACCCAATACAGCAAGTGCTCCTATTATAAACTTAATATAAATAAAACTCAAGCAATGGGCATAAATATCCTGATGGAGGTCTCGGATAAGTTGCGTATCTCTTTTAAATACGACTGGCGAAACGACCATCTAAAATTCCTAGGAATCAATCTCACCCCAAATCTAGCAAACCTTTTTAAAATAAACTATCAAAAAACACTGACTGAAATAAAAAACCTACTACTAGGATGGAAGAGTAAATTCGTATCTTGGTCAGGGAGAATTGCCGCAATTAAAATGATCATTGTACCTAAAATGCAATACTTGTTTAGAACGTTACCCATAAAGATACCCCCCACATTCATACGAGATGCTCAACAAACACTACTAACCTTTATATGGGACAGACAAAAAGCACGGGTAGCGAAAAGCACGCTATAAATGCCACGCAAAAATGGGGGAATGGGAGTGCCCAACCTAGACAGCTACTACAGAGCAGCCATTCTGGGCCCCCTACTAGCGGCTTGCCATCGAGACCACCCAACCCAATGGATGGAACTGGAGGCGCAGCATGCTAATAACATTCCCATCAATGTACTGGCATGGCTTCCCCAGCACAGCAGGCCAACTAAGGCAAAATTGCTCCCAACCACAGCCCTCACCCTGACCATATGGGACAAGTACTGCCGCACATTGGGCTGGCTGGGCAAAATATCGCCTGCCATGCCCATACAAACACTACACTATACAATACCTAATTTTAACTACACCGTATGGCATCAGCACGGAGTAACACACTTACACCAGCTGCTCCAGGAAAACAAGCTCAGAAATCTCGCAGACCTAACAGCATGTTATAATTTGACTCCAAGGGCAGCTTTCCCCTACATGCAGTTGCAATCATGGCTCCGCAAGCAAACTATAACAAGACCTGACAATGTACAGGGGCTACAGCTGACGGTGGTAGAGAAAATATGCTCACGTCTCGCAACCCCCAAAAAACTCATCTCGGAACTATACCAGACTATGCATCCCCCAAAAGACCACAAAAACCTCTCCTTCATAGCTGCATGGGAGAGGGAACTTACGTACACTCTTGGTGAAAAACAATGGAATGAGATTCTCCTGGCACACAATTCACTCTCCAAATGTGCCTCCCACATGGAACTATCCCCGAAAATTTTATACCGGTGGTACCTAGTACCCACACGCCTAAAGGCCACCTATCCACAGGCCTCCGATATCTGTTGGAGATGTCAACAACACAAGGGCACAATGCTCCACATTTGGTGGGAATGCCCCTCCTTAACACCCTACTGGAATACCATAACCACCATTATCCAAGACAGCACAAAAACACTACTACCCCGCAAACCAGAAATATACCTCCTCCACCTCTTTCCAAAGGGGCTGCGGAGCAGGCAAAAATACTTAATCTATCACATACTTATAGCCGCGCTCACGGTCATTAGCAGACATTGGAAATCTAATATCCCACCCAAAATATCAGAATGCATACAAACAATAGAAACAACTAAGCTCTACGAGCTGGCAGCTAGACGCTCAAACCACTCCAAAAAAGTTTGGTCACAAGCCTGGGAAACCTGGCAACTGTACATGGAGCGTACTAATAATATAACCCCCAATTGAGATGACGGTAGCAGGGATCTACACACCGACAGCTGTGCCCCTTCGACAACGAAACTGTAGCAAAGGGTGTAAATGTAAAGGTCAATGCAACTGTAAATGAAAATGTAAATAATTCTGGAGACTGCAAACACAACGATAATGCCGCAACTCGAATAAAACACATGTAAGACAGATAGTCCTGCAGAAACGACCACACACAGCCGACTACCTAGGAGAGCCCTACCCTCTCCCCCCCTCCTTTCTCCTCCCCCCTTCATCCCCCCCCTCCCTTCCGTCCCCACTCTGATCCTCTTCCACGGTTCACCCCCACCCCAGTGGTATATGAAATACCAAAGCTCTACACCCAGCATCAATCACAAACCCAGTCGATTACCACCCTGGAAGGGACCGATGTGAGCCCCCCCCCCCTCAGGGCATGGGGTGGACAATAATCAGCAGACCCAATCAGGGCATCACGATATAACACAATGATCGTATGAAAAGCAAACTGTGTATGATAAATGTGTACACTGTCCTAAGGTCAATGTGTATGAGATACTTTACGTTACCACTGCTCCCCCACCCCCTATTCTCTTCTGTACCCCTATAAAACTTCAATAAAAATTGTCAAAGATAAAAAAAAAACCAAACAAAAAAAAAAAAAAACACACCTCAAAATATAAACAGGACACGTTTTAGTAAAAGGAACTATCCACACACCCCAAAGAAATTATGCATGTCATTTTTTGCATGCTCTCTTTTGTGGTGTATGGAATCTTTGCTTGCAATTGCTGCAGATCTAGTAGTCTTTTTCCCAGCACAGACTTTCTATAGCTGTTCAATAACAGCTTTCTCAATTAACTACTTTACAGTATTAGCAAGGCAGGTGCTATGTGCATTTGCCTACCTCTTGAGTTTTGCTGCACACAGCTAAACTACCAAGGAGTAATAGGACCAGCTGTGTGATTTACAGTCCAAGTGGTGTAAGAAGGTGCTTTGATAAAAGTGCCAATTTCTTATAAAATTGAGGGGGGGAAAAAACAAAAAAAAAAACGTTTCTAACATAAAAGTCCTTCAGCACTCTAAAGTGCGTTGTGGTCCTTAGAATGCAAAAAAAATAATTTTTTTTATATAAAATATATATTCTATACCAGTATATCTAATCCAGTGGTCAGCAACCTATGGCACTTGTGGTGCCTTTGGCCTATCAGTAGTCCCAGGGAGACTTCAGATATTTGCTAGTGCAAATCAAGCTGTGATTGCAGGTGGTGAGGGATAATCCTCAATTCACACATTGCAGCACTTAGAGGAAGTGATCTCAGCATTTGTGAATGGGAATCCACACTGAAGTAGAGCAGCCCACAGCAGTTATCGCAGCTTCTGACTTTGACCTGTACCTGGTCAACCTGGTCCCCACTAGACCCCAAGGAAGCCACCCACACTCGAATATTAGTAGATATAAACAGAGCTGCAGAATAAGCCTCCACCTCAAACAGCACACACACACAGTCCCAATAAACACAACATTACTGACAATCCCCACAAACACAACCCCACAAGCAGCCTCTCATATGCAATACCATAAACAGCCCTATACATACACCAAACACACAATGTGACATATCATTGGTACACACAATTCCACAAGCAGCTCCTATACCAGGCATAGGCAACCTTTTACACTTTTGACTACACCTCCAATGACGCTTTGCCAGCATTATGGGGGGTGTAGTCCACAACATCTGGAGTGTCAAAGGTTGCCTAACCCTGTATACAATGCCACCATAGGTATCAGACACCATACCACATACTACTCATGAACATATGCAATATCAAAGCTTACATATCCACAAATACAAACTGTGGCACCCATAAATAACACAAGCAGAATACGACAACATACAAACAATAATTTTAAATAAAAGGACCGGCACACCAAGGGACTTCAAGATCGTGTTTTGGCACAGTACTACTAAAAGGTTGCCTTTTAACATTCTTAATTCAGTGTGAATAATGGTAAAAATAAATAAATAAATAAAATAAAATAAAAATCAGCATTCCACTTAAATTCTATATTGTTATGCAAATAAAATATATTCTTATTTAAATTTAGATAAATTACATGTGCCTATTTAGTGATTTAAGAAGGGCAACTAAATTCACACAGAACACTACATCTCAATGAAGTGGTCCTGGTGCAATATAACTGCATAATTGCATATTGCAATGTACATAGCAAGGTTAACACACCTCTAGGAGCCATCTTCCACACAGACAACTACTAGAAGTGCTTCATGTGCAACACCAAAGTGAAATGCAGCACAAGAAATACATTAAATTCAATGCTTCCCTTTGAGAAGCATATGAGAACCAATTGAGCATATGCATCTTGTCCCCAATTTTCCCTCTATGAGGAGCATTGGATTGGGCAACCAATGAGGAAGCCATGCCTCAATGATATTGCTGGAGGAAGTGGAGGGGACAGCAGCACTCAGGCAGTCTCGGGGGTGGAATTTTTTTTTTACTTTTTTGTTTTTACTACTATTTTTTATTGCACGGGGGTGGGGGAGGCGATATCTAATTAGAGACTAGAGCACTGTAATGATAGGAATACAGGTTTGTATTCACAATGCTATAGTGTTCCTTTAATAGTCATAAATAATTAGTTCTGTGATGTTAAGTTATACGATTTAAGTCTAAATGTCATTGATGTAAAACTCAGATTGAAATCCGTAGGGAAGGATGAATCTAGATATTTCATTGTGTAAGATTTGATAACATCAGCTTTTCTCCCATAGATCTAAACAAATGTTATGCCGTAAATAACAAGTGTGTTGAAATAACCAAGAAAGTGGCATGTCATTAGGGAAAAGAGAGAAGAATCCGATGTGTTGTTACTTTGTGCCTGTATAATCTGGAACAAATCCACAGTAGATATGCTCAATCTAGCAGTCAATTGGCAGCAAAGGTCACTCAAAACAAGAATAAGATTTGTGTGTTGGGTGTGTGAAACGAGAGAACAAACAAAAACAAACAAACAAAAGCAGTTAATTTGGAGATATAGGGCAATGCATTGCATGAAGACTTGGTAGACTATATCGGAACTTTGAATTATATTCTGGAAACAACAGGGAGTCAAATGAGGCAGAACAAGGAAGGAGAGGATGAGCAATGAGTTAGTCATATTCCACTGGTTTATGAGAAACACAAACAGGTTATCCAGTAAAAAGTGTCAATGGTCTGTCTGGAATTCAAAATGGATTTCAAATACAAGTCCAAATAGCCGCACTTAAAACATAGGTTAGAGAATTTTTCCAAATTGGCTATTTTGGCTTAAATGGCGAAATTAACCAGGAATTTCTGACAATTTGTACCTTTGTGAATAACTGCTTGTGTAGGTTATAAAATCCGTAAGAGCCGTTATAACTTTAGTCAGTCAGAAAGTTATAATTTTTTGGCATCTGACCAGGGAATTTAAAGTTTGAGGTAACAATAGCAGACTTGGAAAAGTTTTTGGCTGTTTATAGGTTTTTATGAGAAGTTGCCTCTGAAACAAAAAAGGTGATTATAGTGCACAATTATATTGTCTATATTCATGCCAGAGAAGGAGTTTATGTCAGCTAAGGGAGCGATATGTCACAATTACGGTGTCTTTTAGATGTGCTTTGTGGAGTTATGTCTGCCTGACAGTGTAGGAGATAGAGTCCATTCCCCCTCTTTGTCGAGGACGGAGTTAAATTAGAGATGCAGTCGCTCTGTCCATCTGGAGTTTAGGATGGGATAAACTATTTATTGGCACAGTCTCTGGCAGGGAAGGAGTTACATGTTTGAACTTGTGGACAAAATCCTTTTTAAATTTAGTTTTTTTTGCCATTTTTCCCTGCAGTATAAATAGCAGTATAATGGATCAGCACTCTAGAATATTGTTACCAGAGGACAGTTACTGATTCTGCAGACTCCAAAGAGCTGCCTGGCTGCATGTGGAATTCATGCTCTCCGTGTTAAAATCAATTAAATACTATAACAACTAAATTTATTGCACCAGCAATTGTAAACACATGCCCTGCAGGATGCAAAACGTACCTGTTATGTAAAAACCTTGCAATCTGGCTAACCCACTCTACAACAATGCATCACAATGAACACAGTGCTGATAAACGTAAATGGCTATTAGTTATTACCAATGTGCATCGGATGTTATGGGCACATTAAGCGGAGGCAACATTTTATTGCAGGTTGGAAAGGCATTGGACTATTGCCCTCATGTCCATTGTGAAATCCAAAACACAACAACATTACTGTAAAAAATTCCAAATATCATGGGAATATTGTGGAAGCATAAAACAACCCTGTACCAAATAAAGTAAACTCCTTACAACTTTGCACTCTGCCCTTTAGGGACAACATATGCATACAAAGTTTAACAAAACAATGCAATTGTTATTTATTAATACCTGAGATCAACAGAGAAATAAGGTAGACTGTGCATATGCCATAAAACCAGGTTTTAGTATTCCAGTGAAAGGCAGGCAGCTCATAAAACAGCAGGTTTTCTGCTCCGCATTTAATATAAATGAAGATTTAGAGCGCTCGTCAAGTTACCTAAGCAAATCTACACTCATTTCACTATGGATGAAAGATACACAATAACAACAACATTTTATTCCTGTCAGCAACTTGACTATTTTATAAAAATTACATTTTCCCAGGTGAATTTAACATCTAATATTCCAGAAAACAATCCTACAATTCAGGGACTTTAAAAAAATAAATAAGATAATAATAAATAATTAATTCAAAAATATAGAATGATGTGCATTTATACAAACTGACATTTGCAGATCTGTCCTGCAAATATTGTTGAATACACCTAGGGTTTATTCACTAAGCTCCAATTTGTAGCAAATTAAAATCAGAATGACAACATTAAGTCAAAAATAGCTAACCTGAAAAAATTCGCTAGTTTAGCTTTAGTCGTAGTTTGGCAATTTTCGCCTCAGTTTCGCCATTCAGACTTGAATTTGCTACAATTCAGAGTTTAGTGAATAAGCCACAATATAATGATACACGGTTTATCAAATCGCATAGGACTCCTTTACTACAACTGACCAGCATCTCTCCGGACTCGCCGGTTACTTGTCACCCCAGGGGAGGCGGTCAGGTGGACAAGGTATACCACTGCGCATAGCAGCAAGAAAAGGCCAAACGTTCCCAATGCAACAGTGCGGGGCCTCCTTTTTCTTCCATGGAGTCTTCCATCTAGAGTGGCTGCAATCTTTTCCATATTCAAACCTTAACAGATCTCCTCTCCCAAAACTCTGTGCCCTGGTCTGAGGGAGGAGGCCGGATTAATCTTCATCATGTGATACTGTGTGTCCTCTCTGCGTGCACAAATTAACCCTCCCTAGGGTTATAGTGAACCTCAGTTTCTCTTAGATAAAAGTGAGGGTCAGGGAGCATAATATCTAATGACCAACGTTGCAAACAAAGTAACCAACAGTTAAACTCAGATGATGTTGGATCACGAGGCCCATTTTAAGCTGCCTTTAACCTCACATTGTTAATACCAGGGGGCAAATAAACTATTCCTGAAAGAAACAAGACAAATCAATCCTTTCAACTTTGGAATGGTATTCAGTTATGTTTTACGCTTACTCTTTAATGACTTCAATTTCTGTCATAAAATAAGCTATTAACTACGTCTAACTAGTGGGGTTGCTCTTTGCCATCTGGTAAATTGCTTTTTTTGTACCTTTGGCTTCTTAATCAGCGTAGATGTTGCGTTTTATATTTGTTACAATGCTATTAATATTACAAAGTATACTTATTTTTTTTTAGCTTTGACAGAACTAGGCAATGACATGCTAATCCTTTAAGAGTGAAGGAGAGAATTAGGAACAGATTGTTTCTGTAGTGTAGAATTTGTTAACTCCTTCATTTCAAGATGTATGTTACACTTTAAAAAACCTTATTTTCAAAAGTCTGAATTTAGAAAGAAAAACCAAAACCACTTTCCTGGGAATTCAAAGGCTAAATTCTGATAACAATACACATATTATTCTCAGAATTAAATCAGACCAACTATGAATTGTTTCAGGTTAAGCGTGAATTGAAACTCGTCCAAATGCACCTGTAATGCCTTCAAATGCTCCTGAAAGAACCAAAACTAAGCTTTACTTGGGAGTTAATTTCTGAATTATTCCCATAATGAAATTAGTAACTTAAATAATTTGATCTGGCAGCTGCCCAAATGGAAAAAGAAAAACAAATAAATAAAATATGGCGTGCAATATTATGGCTCCCATGCTAAAAGACAGATTGGGAGGAAGTGAGGATTAAAGGGACACTCTGGACCCCTAAGGAACATCAGCTTGCTAAAATGCTTTATATGTGAAGACTGTCTTTTTTTTTCTTTTCATTTTAAAAAAAGTGCAATTGAAATTAGCACAAACTTCCTTAAACTCCTGCCCTCCAGATGTTGCTGAACTACAACTCCCATGATTTTATGAATGAGATCATGAGATTCTTGAGTCAAACTTTAATTAGAATCATGAGAGTTATAGTGCAGCAACATCTGGTATGGTTGGAGTTTGGGGAAGCCTGAATTAGCATGTTCATAAATTAAGTCAATTGCACAACCAGTCCTGCATGTTTTCATTGAGGTATGTCCACTAAGCAGTGATTTATATATAATGGAGTGGGCAATAGAGTGTCCCTTTAATCAAATATTTGAGTACCATTTGGGTTAATTAAATCTATTTACGGATTTTGAAGACTCCTTTCAACTTGGCAGCCTGTATCTGCTAATCCATGTAAAGGGTTAAAAATAAATTAGCTCGGGTCAGGCAAACCCTTTAATTACCAGAAGATCCTCCTCTTATTCCATCACCCTATCAGCCTATGTGTGTTGCGATGTGGGTTAAATTAATTGACTATATACACTTGCCTATGCCAAGTGTCTCATGATCTAATTTAATACGTATGTCCATCTTGGTGTGCCATGGGAATGCCAATCCTCCTTACATAAATCATCATATACCTTAAGGCGATAGGAGATGTGCAGTCTCCTTTGCAATAGCAAGTATGTTAGTATCCAATAAAGCCCTGGAATATTTGAAAGAATTAGTTGTGCTCAGAAGTCAGTATAAAAATCTGTGATATTTACTTGGCCTTTGAGACAGCTAGTTAACTTATGAGCATTATTCTGTTGTCACGTTACTGAGTTTTTTTTCACTGTAAATTGAGTCTGTATCACAATGGGAAAAGGAGAATGTTTAAATATAACTGCAAATAGCCAAACCTCTTTACTGTTTTACTGTATATATATATATACAAAATATCCCATGATATGTAAAAACCCCAGCACGTAACAAGAGAGAACGAAATAGCTCTCTCACATGTGCATTTTTGTATATGTACAAACATAAATGTAGGTCTATTTAGCCCAGAAAATTGCCTCCTTTATTTCTCCACCCTTTTTGTGTGGGTATTGAAGGGTAACTTAAAGGAACACTATAGTCATCAAAACAACTCTAGCTTAATGGTGTATAGATCATGACCATGCAGTGTCACTGCTCAATTCCCTGTTATTTAGGAGTTACATTGCTTTGTTTACACAGCCGTAGTCACACCTCCCTGCATGTGACTTACACAGCCTTCCTAAACACTTCCTGTAAAGAGGCATATAGTGTTTATCCTTCCATTATTGCACATTCTGTTTAATTTAGAATGTCTCCTGCTCTGTTGATAGTCTGCTAGACCCTGCAGAAGTCTCCTGTATGTAATTAAAGTTTAATTTACAGAGCAGAAGATAAATATTTTAAAGTTACATCTGATTGAAAATGAAACCTTTTTGTTTTCATGCAGGCTTTGTGAATCACAGTCAGGGAAGGTGTGACTAGGGCTGCATAAACAGAAATAAAAGTGATTTCACTCCTAAATGGCAGTGAATTGAACAGTGAAACTGCAGGGGCATAATCTATACACAACAACTGTTTAATTGAGCTAAAGTTGTTTTGGTGACTGTAGTGTCCCTTTAAAGGAGAACTGTTACTTCTCAAGATTTGTAAAGGAACAATGTAGAATTAGGAATACAAAGTTCTTTTAACTGTTTAGGTTACTGGACTCCCTCCCGATTTGCAATAAAAAACATTGAGATTTACTAACCTTGAAGCCATGCTGGACTTCACAATGCGATTTCTACCTCCTTTGCTGAAATCTCAGCAACTCCAATGCATCCCATGCACAAATCAAATGCTCTCTAGAGAATCATTTAATTAAATGGTCACTTCTGACTTGGTTATTCAACATAAGCACCCTCTAGTGGCTGCCAGGAAGACAGACACTTGAGTAATGTTGAGACAAATAAGATGTGGGTTTAATCAATCCAAAATACGAGCAACTTCTAAATAGTTAAAGTTATGAAATCAATACAAATGGCAGCAGTTATAGATAAGAAAGCTATATTCTTAAATAATGAATTTAATAAAAATTTGGTATCACATGATCTGGGCAATTATCATTCACAATAGGCATAAAATATTCACTAATCATAAACAGAATGACCTGCACAGTAAACATATAATACAATGCAAAATTGGGAAAACAATAATCATTATTAATAATTATTAGTTACTCTATGTTTGTGATTCCATTTTTTTCCCACTTTCCCTTTCCCTCTTTTGGCTCAGATAATAATTAGCATGTACTATAGACTGGTGCTATATAAACTGCAAAAACTTTATAATACACATTTTTTCTAGTTACAGTTACAATACAGTTTTGGTAACTCAGGGTGGGCTATTAGTCTGGCTATTTTATTATTAGAGGGATAATATTAAGTAATATATAATGAAATAAGGAAGCTCTGGTAAAGCAGCAGGATTTAATTAACATTTGGGTAAACAGACACTATCCATATCACCTTGTCACAAGAGCAAGGCTGGCTCCAAAGATCTTAATGCCACTACCACTCTTTCACTGACTCCAAGGCTGGCTCCAAAGATCTTAATGCCACTACCTCTCTTTCACTGGCTCCAAGGCTGGCTCCAAAGATCTTAATGCCACTACCTCTCTTTCACTATAGGGGAACAATTGGAAGTTTGCCCTCTCAGTCCTTATTGGCATTCCAGAGTAGTGAAAAGCCAAAGTATTTTGACTCTCAAGCAGCATATTCTGTTGGCACCCCTTCCAAATTATATAATGTTTTGTGTATTGCCCAACCCATTGTGTTGTGTTTCTTCACCTTCTCGTTTTCTTGTGTGTGCCCCTTAACCCCCTTTTACTCTATTTGCTTCTCTTCTAAACCCCTTACTCCTAATGTACCTCTTTTCTCCCCTTACCTTTGTGTGCCTCTCTTAACTCTTCTTACCCCCTCTGTACCTATTAACATCCTTGTGTGTCTCTTAACCCGCTCACACTCTGGTTTGTGTCCCTATTATGCTGTTTTGCATCGTAACCCACATGAGCCCTTGCGTACCTCTTAACCCCCTCATTGTGTGCCTATTGTTTCTCTTTACCCCTTGTGTGACTTTTTACCCATATGTGCCTCTTAAGTCCCCTTTTACCCATGAAGACTCACAACCCTTCCTTTTAATGCTTGTGTGCCTCTTAACCCCATATTTCACTTCTTGTATATCTCTTTAGTCCAATTTACATATTGTGTATCTATTTACCCCCTTACCCTTTGTGTGCCTCTTTAACCCCCTTTTTACCCCTTATTTGTCCCCTTGTATACAGTTTAATCCACCTCTTATCCCTTATGTGTCTCTTAACCCCCTCTTATCCCTTGTGTTGCTCCTAACCCACTTGTTATCCTCTGTGTGTCTTTTAGCCCTCCCTCATTTTACCCTTTGTGTGTTCCTCATCCACACTTACTGCCACCCTCTCCCCCACATACACATTAGTAGCATGGCCTTAAAGTTAACAGTGGCATAGGATGAGGTTGACCATATTGCTCTAGAGGCTAGGTTTGAGGCATTAAAGTTTGTAGATTAGGGTTAGATATATTTGGGCTTAAATGAAGATGGTGGTTAAGAATAAAGGTGAATGAATTACGTTTAAGATGGTAAGTGTTTGATCAGCATTAGTCATTCCTTATCTAATAACTAACTTCCCATAGTCATGATCATGCAAAAATGGCAGCAAACAAGACCATGATCCCAAGGAAGTTTCACAATGACTCATAACTTTGGAAAGGTGATAAAGAAATTAGGTCAATGCTTGGCTGAATTCTTGGTGTAATAAGGAGTGGTTGGGGTTTTTAGAACACTGGCTATCTTTGCACTTGCAATCTTTATAGCCATGATGAATTGCACCTGAGTGAAATAGGGTTTGCTATGCTGGGGACCCTATGGGAGGATGGCTAGAAGGCTGGATGAGGATTTATGCTAGGAATGGAGAGAGGGACATGGAAGAATAAATGTATGTAATGTAAATGTAA